CATGTATGTTGTAAAATAACGTTATGTCAGTATGTGAGGATATGTTATGGATCATGTATGTTGTAAAATAACGTTATGTCAGTATGTGGGGATATGTTATGGATCATGTATGTTGTAAAATAACGTTATGTCAGTATGTGGGGATATGTTATGGATCATGTATGTTGTAAAATAACGTTATGTCAGTATGTGGGGATATGTTATGGATCATGTATGTTGTAAAATAACGTTATGTCAGTATGTGAGGATATGTTATGGATCATGTATGTTGTAAAATAACGTTATGTCAGTATGTGGGGATATGTTATGGATCATGTATGTTGTAAAATAACGTTATGTCAGTATGTAGGATATGTTATGGGTCATGTATGTTGTAAAATAACGTTATGTCAGTATGTGGGGATATGTTATGGATCATGTATGTCGTAAAATAACGTTATGTCAGTATGTGGGGATATGTTATGGATCATGTATGTATGTTGTAAAATAACGTTATGTCAGTATGTGAGGATATGTTATGGATCATGTATGTTGTAAAATAACGTTATGTCGGTATCGGGGATATGTTATGGATCATGTATGTTGTAAAATAACGTTATGTCAGTATGTAGGATATGTTATGGATCATGTATGTTGTAAAATAACGTTATGTCAGTATGTGGGGATATGTTATGGATCATGTATGTTGTAAAATAACGTTATGTCAGTATGTAGGATATGTTATGGATCATGTATGTTGTAAAAATAACGTTATGTCAGTATGTAGGATATGTTATGGGTCATGTATGTTGTAAAATAACGTTATGTCAGTATGTGGGGATATGTTATGGATCATGTATGTTGTAAAATAACGTTATGTCAGTATGTGGGGATATGTTATGGATCATGTATGTTGTAAAATAACGTTATGTCAGTATGTGGGGATATGTTATGGATCATGTATGTTGTAAAATAACGTTATGTCAGTATGTGGGGATATGTTATGGGTCATGTATGTTGTAAAATAACGTTATGTCAGTATGTGGGGATATGTTATGGATCATGTATGTTGTAAAATAACGTTATGTCAGTATGTAGGATATGTTATGGATCATGTATGTTGTAAAATAACGTTATGTCAGTATGTGGGGATATGTTATGGATCATGTATGTTGTAAAATAACGTTATGTCAGTATGTGGGGATATGTTATGGATCATGTATGTTGTAAAATAACGTTATGTCAGTATGTGGGGATATGTTATGGATCATGTATGTTGTAAAATAACGTTATGTCAGTATGTAGGATATGTTATGGATCATGTATGTTGTAAAATAACGTTATGTCAGTATGTGAGGATATGTTATGGATCATGTATGTTGTAAAATAACGTTATGTCAGTATGTAGGATATGTTATGGATCATGTATGTTGTAAAATAACGTTATGTCAGTATGTGGGGATATGTTATGGATCATGTATGTTGTAAAATAACGTTATGTCAGTATGTGGGGATATGTTATGGATCATGTATGTTGTAAAATAACGTTATGTCAGTATGTGGGGATATGTTATGGATCATGTATGTTGTAAAATAACGTTATGTCAGTATGTGGGGATATGTTATGGATCATGTATGTTGTAAAATAACGTTATGTCAGTATGTAGGATATGTTATGGATCATGTATGTTGTAAAATAACGTTATGTCAGTATGTAGGATATGTTATGGATCATGTATGTTGTAAAATAACGTTATGTCAGTATGTAGGATATGTTATGGATCATGTATGTTGTAAAATAACGTTATGTCAGTATGTGTGGGGATATGTTATGGATCATGTATGTTGTAAAATAACGTTATGTCAGTATGTGGGGATATGTTATGGATCATAAAAAAATAACGTTATGTCAGTATGTTGGGATATGTTATGGATCATGTATGTCGTAAAATAACGTTATGTCAGTATGTAGGATATGTTATGGATCATGTATGTTGTAAAATAACGTTATGTCAGTATGTAGGATATGTTATGGATCATGTATGTTGTAAAATAACGTTATGTCAGTATGTAGGGATATGTTATGGATCATGTATGTTGTAAAATAACGTTATGTCAGTATGTAGGATATGTTATGGGATATGTTATGTAAAATAACGTTATGTATGTATGTAGGGGAAAATAACGTTATGTCAGTATGTGTAGGGATATGTTATGGATCATGTATGTTGTAAAATAACGTTATGTCAGTATGTAGGATATGTTATGGATCATGTATGTTGTAAAATAACGTTATGTTGTAAGGATATGTTATGGATCATGTATGTTGTAAAATAACGTTATGTCAGTATGTGGGGATATGTTATGGATCATGTATGTTGTAAAATAACGTTATGTCAGTATGTAGGATATGTTATGGATCATGTATGTTGTAAAATAACGTTATGTCAGTATGTAGGATATGTTATGGATCATGTATGTTGTAAAATAACGTTATGTCAGTATGTGAGGATATGTTATGGATCATGTATGTTGTAAAATAACGTTATGTCTGTATGTGGGGATATGTTATGGATCATGTATGTTGTAAAATAACGTTATGTCAGTATGTAGGATATGTTATGGATCATGTATGTTGTAAAATAACGTTATGTCAGTATGTAGGATATGTTATGGATCATGTATGTTGTAAAATAACGTTATGTCAGTATGTAGGGGATATGTTATGGATCATGTATGTTGTAAAATAACGTTATGTCAGTAAGGATATGTTATGGATCATGTATGTTGTAAAATAACGTTATGTCAGTATGTAGGGATATGTTATGGATCATGTATGTTGTAAAATAACGTTATGTCAGTATGTAGGATATGTTATGGATCATGTATGTTGTAAAATAACGTTATGTCAGTATGTGGGGATATGTTATGGATCATGTATGTTGTAAAATAACGTTATGTCAGTATGTAGGGATATGTTATGGATCATGTATGTTGTAAAATAACGTTATGTCAGTATGTGGGGATATGTTATGGATCATGTATGTTGTAAAATAACGTTATGTCAGTATGTAGGATATGTTATGGATCATGTATGTTGTAAAATAACGTTATGTCAGTATGTAGGATATGTTATGGATCATGTATGTTGTAAAATAACGTTATGTCAGTATGTGGGGATATGTTATGGATCATGTATGTTGTAAAATAACGTTATGTCAGTATGTAGGATATGTTATGGATCATGTATGTCGTGTAAAATAACGTTATGTCAGTATGTAGGATATGTTATGGATCATGTATGTTGTAAAATAACGTTATGTCAGTATGTGGGGATATGTTATGGATCATGTATGTTGTAAAATAACGTTATGTCAGTATGTAGGATATGTTATGGATCATGTATGTCGTAAAATAACGTTATGTCAGTATATGATATGTTATGGATGTCGTAAAATAACGTTATGTCAGTATGTAGGATATGTTATGGATCATGTATGTTGTAAAATAACGTTTATGTCAGTATGTAGGATATGTTATGGATCATGTATGTTGTAAAATAACGTTATGTCAGTATGTGGGGATATGTTATGGATCATGTATGTTGTAAAATAACGTTATGTCAGTATGTGAGGGATATGTTATGGATCATGTATGTCGTAAAATAACGTTATGTCAGTATGTGAGGATATGTTATGGATCATGTATGTTGTAAAATAACGTTATGTCAGTATGTTGTAAATAACAGGATATGTTATGGATCATGTATGTTGTAAAATAACGTTATGTCTGTATGTGGGGATATGTTATGGATGCATGTTGTAAAATAACGTTATGTCAATGTAGGATATGTTAGTCATGTATGTCGTAAAATATGTTATGGATTATGGATCATGTATGTTGTAAAATAACGTTATGTCAGTATGTGAGGATATGTTATGGATCATGTATGTTGTAAAATAACGTTATGTCAGTATGTGGGGATATGTTATGGATCATGTATGTTGTAAAATAACGTTATGTCAGTATGTGGGGATATGTTATGGATCTTGTATGTTGTAAAATAACGTTATGAAAGTATGTGGGGATATGTTATGAATCATATATGTTGCAAAATAACGCTAAGTTAGTATGTGTCTATTTGTTTTAATGTTTTTATAATTCATTTAGTTATGTTTATTATTATTTTTGGGGGGTGGAGGGGTGGTGTGTGTGTGTATGTGCGTGTGCGTGCGTGCGTGCGTGTGTGCATGTTAAGTATCAATGTTGTTTGGCGAGATCATCATCCATAACAAGAGAAAGATCTATTCCAGACAAGTGCGATCACTGTCTGTCATGCGTATTGCAGAAATGTGAGTAAATATGGTCTGTTCTTGTGTTACTCTTCAGGGAGATACAGGATCTATGTTTAATGTCCAATTGAACAACAGTATTTCCGTTATGTCGATGATTAATGTAGGAAGACAGACCATAATAACGCACCTTTTAACTGAACGGCGTGACTTGACTAAAAATAGTCTGCGAAACGGAGATATGAATAATAACTTAAAAAGTCAAGAAATGAACTCGCGTGAATTGAGGATCCCTCTTTTGAGGGTTCACAGAACTAAAAGGGCTTTAGTACTGACTGCAAAGGATGACAGTGGAATAGAGAGAGATGTTTGAAATATACACTCTGGGGTCTGCATAAAAGACAATATTCTGACCACAGTCAATATGATATAAGTGTGAGTAAGTGTGATGCCCTGGCTCCACAGTAGTCTTGACAAAGAATCCGCCCACGCGATCCGTGACAACACACTAGAAAAGGTTGAACAATTATTCCGAGTCGTTAATTCTCGTTAATTCCTCATCACTTCCCAACTTAGCTCAGCTTTTATTGAACTCACACAGGCTATCATACATTGTCATACGACACCGTTGTTAGTCCATGCTGACGTCACAGCGATGTTGATGACGTCGGGTTGTCAGTTGTATCAGTGTATTGCCGTATTGATCAAACTGTGTTTTTGCTTCTGCAGATCAGGGCTGCAGGCGTGGTGGAGGTGCTGACAGCGGATGTCACTGACGCCGGCTCAAGGACGTGGGCACACAAGGGTTATGGGGTCATATGTTTCATCAAGGACCATCCAGGGAAACGGTACATCTTCAAGGCATATAACCTCATGGTCAGTACTGTGCTTCTCTTCTCTTCTCTTATATAAAGTGAGTGAGTGAGTGAGTTCGGTTTAACGCTAATTGAATAGACTCACTAGTGTTGACATTTTCCCTCTAATATCCAGTATTATTCGTTACACTGCTATACTGAGTCTAACAAAACCTAGTAGAAGGTCGCGTCAGCTAACCTTTGAGCGACCTATGACCGTCCAATCAAACGCGAGACGGCCGAACGGATTTAACCAATCAGACAACGACTACTTGTTAGGGTTCGGCGGGACTTACAAAACGGTTTTGGAATTTTCTCTTCCCTGGTCGCTGACACTGATCTATCAACAAACGAAAATCCGCATAAAACACAGATATTTGACCTGCAGTATATACGCTTATGGGTTTCTAATGACATGGTTACTATTTGCTTATATTTTCGCAAGATGACATCCTTGAATATTGACAAAAACGCTATTTTCAGCGACTGTTTACTCATTGCGTGTATCACTCGGAAGCGATCGTGCGGAAAATAGCATTCGGAATCGTTCGAGGTTTTGAGGTAAAGGTTCAAACGGTATGTGCGAATGTTAACTTTCGCGATTTGGTAAGCTGTGTTCTGATTGGTCAGTCCAAAAGGTTAGCTGACGCGACCTTCTACAAGGTTTTGTTAGACTCAGTATAGCAGTGTAACGAATAATACTGAGCCTAAGTTTACTTAGACTGGCATTTACAAGTGCTTTGTACGTTAACAGTAAGTCAGGGTTATGATCCTGAACACTGGCGACCCTGCATGCAGCTGTGTAGGTAAGGGCGGGTTAGAATTAAACTGAAGGGGGTATAGACAAATAATCTCTAGCTAGTGTGTGTTTGTTTGTTGTTTAATGCTGCACTCAGCAATATTCCAGCTATATGGCCACGGTCTGTAAATAATCGAGTCTGGACCAGATAATCCAGTGATCAACAGCATGAGCATCAATCTTCTCAATCGGGATACGATGACATGTGTCAAACAAGTCAGCAAGCCTGACCATCGATCCCGTTAGTCGCCTCTTACGACAAGCATGGGTTGTTGAAGACCAATTTTTACCCGGACCTTCGCGAGGTAGCTGATGCTCTGTTCTTCTTCCTAGCAACCTGCGATTGTAACAAACGTCAAACGTTTCACTCGATAAAAGTAGTAGTAGATTGAAAAGCGGTTCAAATCCCGGGTCGCCTACTATAACCCTTAGTATGTGTGAATATTTTAATTCTTACCATCCTTACTTTCAGACGAGGCAAGAGATACACGAGCACACTATTAACAACAAGTTCAAGTACATAGAGAAGAGCGATCGGTTCCACTACATGACTGGAGCGGTGAGCCTCTTGTATACAGTATCACTATGGAATCCTGGAGGGACATTGTCTTGCTGCCCTTATAAAAACTCCAAACCGATTAACGAAAGTGCTACATTGCCTCAAGCGACATTTTTTTACCATTTTTTGGCATTGTCACGAAAGTGGGTATGGTGTAACGCCGCTTTTAGCTCTAATCCAGCAATATCACGGCGTGGGACACCAGAAATGGGCTTCACACATTGGACCCATGTGGGAAATTGAACCCAGGTCTTCGACGTGTCGAGCAGACGCTTTACCCATCAAGCTTGACCTTTGGCGCCATTGTGATCTAAAGCGCGACAAAGCGACAGCCCTGACAAATGTGGCGTTGTGGCGTTGTGCTCTTTGGTTAATTTTGAGAAGGTTTGTTTGTTCTTTTTAAGGTGTCAATGCGACAACGAGACAATGACCTTTCATGCATCACTGCACGCTTCTAAATACATGGACCCTGTTATACAACACGATCCAAACACCAAGGTCATTTATTGAACAGGTCCCACGACTTCCAGAATACCATAGTGGTAGCACAATGTCCTTATATCACAATGTCATACAAAATGTAGACGTAACCAATTTCATTGCAGCCCTCCCATACCGTATTCAGTGCTTGGTGTTGACATGTTTTCCTGTAAGCCGTTTCTGTAACGTATCTGTTTCGCCAAACAGGTATATTTGTTGAAATTCCGAGAGAGACCACATGCATGGTTGTTTTCTGAGAATCAGGGACAAAACACTCCCGAATCATCCAATTCTTGTCTTCCCATGGTAATCCAGTGGTAAAATAAACCCAAAGTTATAAACTGCCTGTCTTCCCGTAGGAATCAGGACAGAACCAAAATAATAGGTGCTTGAGTGTCATCAGTGCGGATTCAGGGACAGAACTGGCCATAAATACTCCATACCTGTCCTGTGAATGGCGACTAGTTCTAACCTGCCCGATTCTGTATTACCTTAGCACATTATTCACACTGTCGCCCAGTGGTTCGTCTGGTCCAGAATCGACCACCGGCGCGCTATAGTCGTCATATTGCTACTTGCGAGGTAAACACCATTTAAACACCATCTTTTAAACATTTCTTCATTAAGCTAAATGTTATTTTACAAGGGCACGTGTACATTGTGTGTCGGTGTTGAATTCAGTTGTAGTGTTGAGTAGATAAAGGCGCTCAATCTGAATGCTAAACCTATGTTTTCAGAAAAATCGGATGACTGGCCTAAACTTTATTGACGAAATCGAGGCGAAGTTGTTCAAAGAGACGGTTGACTGCAAAAGAGAACAATGGACCTTTCCCTCCATCCCGCCCCATCCCCGTGGCTTGCCTGACTACATCCCCCCTCACGTCTCGCTACAGGAAATCATTCAAGAATTGCCACAGGACGTCCCGACACAGGCTCCGACACAGACACCGACACAGACACCGACACAGGTCCCGACTCTCGTCCCGGATGATATACCTTCACGGACTCCGCAAGAGATATTCTCACAGACGCAGCAAGATTTATTAACACAGGTCCCGCAAGATATTTTGACACAGACCCCGCAAGATCTGTTCACAAGGGTCCCAGAGGAAGTTCCGTCCCAGATCCAATCACAGGGAACGGAACAGGATGTAACGTCACATGTCTCTCAAGAGATGACGTCAGCTGTCTCGCAAGAGATGACGTCACAGGCAGCGCAAAAGGTCCCAATCACACGTCCCCTCACAGGTACGACGGCCATTTCGACTTTGTACGCACACCTAGATCACGGTCCACGATGCGTTCGTAACGTTACGATTGCGGTAGGGTGGCCTAGTGTCCCCAGTCGTGATATTGCTGGAATATTGCTAAAAGCGGCGTAAAACTAAGTTCACTCACTCGTAACGACCTGTCGTAACTTGATCAGTACTACCATTGTGCTTAACTGGAATATTGCTGACGTTCGTTCATTCATTCATTTATTCATTCATTCATTCATTCCTATACATAACACTGTAATTTGTTTACACAACATATGGATTTTCGATTGGACGAGATGCTGCCCACGTGACCTTAAAAATGACGTGAATAAGAGACATCATTTTGGCGTTAAACGTCTTCACGTGACGATATTCTTGAAGTGGCTCGGACAATAGCGGACTGTTTCCACATATCCATGAAAAACAAAAACCTGGGAATTCCTAAGCCCGATGATACGAAATAGTTTTGTTTCTGCTGATTTGGACTCATGTAGACATCTTAAAAAAGAAACTATTTTAGCTGCTTAAAAACTGATGATTGTCGCCTGGAGACACTATACTGTCTCAAGGGATCAGTATTTCAAACCATCATCTATGACGGATTTTTTTTACTGATATTTCTTCTTGGATTTTTGAAAGAAATTGAATAGATAAATTTTGGATAGCATATATATTGTAACTGTAAGTAAAATCTTAATCTGCAAGTTTGAATAAATGAGATTGTTTGTGGCTGTACCTTCAAAGGGGGTTGAAGTAGCGTTAAATAAGTGTCCCCTGAGAGGGAACGTAACTCTCTGTGAGTTTAATCGTGGAATATATGTTTTTTAATGTATGTTTAATTTGTGCAAACATCACCAGCAAGTGAAGGAATGGTGTAAATGACTTAGAATTACTTCCTATGGTCCCTAGTATGGTGATCTACCTTCAGTTGAGGCGAGACCCGTGAAGGTCCGGGTTAGAATATTGATCTTCAGTAACCCATGCTTGTCGTAAGAGGAGACTAACGGGATCCGGTGGTCAGGCTCGCTGACTTGGTTGACACATGCCATTGGTTCCCAGTTGCGCAGATTGATGCTCATGCTGTTGATCACAGGATTGTCTGGTCCAGACTCGATTATTTACAGACCGCCGCCATATAGCTGGAATATTGCTGAGTGCGGCGTTAAACTAAACTCACTCACTCACTCAGTTGAGGCGATCTGGAACCCGTTTTAATATATTATCGCTCTCTGAAGTGATGTCGTTTTAGGATAACACGCTAATTTTAAGTCCAACTCTGTGATACCCTTATTCTCGAAACGTTCGTAGCCCTAAGAATTCTTAACTTTGATCGTAGCCAATGTGTTAAGAATGGGCTAAAGAAGTTCGTAGGGCTACGAAAGTTTCGAGAATAGCTAGTGTTGATGTTTTACTGTCCATTGTTTCTAACTTTAAATTTATTCAATTTAATTGTTCTCGTCACGATATGGCTGAAATGTTGCCGATGTAACGTTGAATATTAACTCACTCACTCGTAGGCATTCCACAGACCAGCTTGGTCCACCCAAAGACCAGCTTGAAAAGAAACAATGAAACCTTAGATAAATTTCCAGTATATCATGATCTTCGAAAGAAATATTTGAGAAATATACCTTTGTACAGCAATAATAACTACGTAATTCATCCGTTAAAATGCAATAATCTGTCTCGCTTATTGTCTTACTCAGATTAAATACTGAGTCAAAAAAAGAAACTTCACATTCTTTCTTCAGGGCACTATAAAAGAACAAGAGATGGTAAGATGGTTAAATTGTTATTATTTCATTGCTGAGATCTGTGTGATGTACTCGATACACTGACAGTGCCATAATCAGTTCCATTAGGCTACATCGCCGTTCCAAAACATGGGTATACAGAATGTCAAGTCACAAGAATAAAAATGCGAAATTTCTCAGTTCAATATCGTGTATGGCTGCCCCGTGCATTCACCACTGCCAAACACCGTCTCCTCATCGACTGCCTGATGCTTGTGAACACGTGGTTGGGGATTCTGCGCCATTGCTCTTGCAAGGCAGCGCCAAGTTCCTGCAAATTCTGAGGTTGGTTCCTAAGACCACGAAGCCTTCTCCCAAGTGCATCCGAAACGTGCTCTATTGGATTAAGGTCAGGGGACCTCGATGGCCAGTCCATGACGTTGATTCAAGCGTTTTGAGGGAAATTTCGTGTCAACATCGCGGTATGCGGCCGAGCATTATCATGCTGGAACTGTAGACCTGGGCCATGAGCCGCCATGAAAGGAACGAGCTCAGGGGTGAGCACCTGGTTGCGGTAAGCAGCAGCTGTGAGGTTTCCACGGATGACCAGAAGTCGGGAACGGTTGTTCCCACAGAAAGCACCCCACACCATGCAACTTCCGCCCCCGAATCTGTCGACTTCCTGTACACAACATTGGGCATACCGTTCACGACGTCGTCTCCAGACTCTATGCCTGCCGTCCGCGAATCTGAGGGTAAACCTGGATTCATCGCTAAAGACGACTCGATTCCAGTCTCTCTGGGTCCATCGGAGGTGACGTTGGGCCCACAGCCCGTTGACGTTGATGAAACGGCGTCAATATTGGCCCACGATATGGACGTCGAGAATGAAATTGGCAGTCAACCGATTTGAATGGTCTGTAGGACAGTCGACCTCTAAACATCTCAGCCCTGGTTCGTGTAGCCGGCAGAAATCTGTCACGTAGGTGACGTAGGACGATTTGACGGTCTTCTGCTCGTGACGTCACACGTGGACGACCCGACCTTGGGCGATCAGAAGTGGTGCCAGTTTGTTATAGACGACCTCGCAAGTCATACACAGTACGACGGCTGCATCCCATTGCTCTTGCGACGTCAATAACTGATCTTCCCGCTTGCAACATGCCAACGGCACGTTCACGTTGCACATTTGACAATCGTGGCATTTCAAGTACCGTTAGAACTGTGGTTTAAAAGTGTTTTTTCAATTCTTGAGGCAAATGCAAACACGTGCATATGAAGAAAACTTCGATGCGAAGATCACGTGATCGACTGCACGTGCAAAACCTGATTTGGCACTAACATCATTTGCACGACGAATGGATGGGTTTGAGTGGGTTTTGCTAACGTTTTTCTAGAGTCGAAAGATAGGGATCCCATTTCGGATACATAGCTGTATCATCAGAAAAAAATTATTCATTATTTTTCAAATTACATTTTGTGAAGTTTCTTTTTTTGACTCAGTATATTAGGGATACCTTAGTTTTACGCAGTTCCTTTCTATAGTATTCATTGCTTATTGTGGACTGACATTTTATATACGTGGGCCGTATTTCTATTGAATAAATTGACTGAATGTCTCTGGTCTCTGGTGTATTTCAGCCGACGGAACAGGACGATGTCGTTGACTGTTCTACAGATCCAGCCACACAAGACCGACTAGATGCAGCAGGTTATATTGTAATTCTCCGTTACATAACAGACTCCTGAAGATCCGGGTTAGAATTAGTCTTCAGTAACCCATGCTTGTCGTAAGAGGCGACTAACGGGATCAGGTGGTCACTGGTCAGACTCGCTGACTTGGTTGATACATGTCATCGTATCCCAACTGCGTGGATCAATGCTCATACTACTGATCACTGGATTGTCTGGTCCAGACTCGATTATTTACAGACCGCCGCCATATAGATGGAATATTGCTGAGTGCGGCGTAAAACAATAAACCAAACCAAAAACCACAAAATGATCACCTTATATTAGCTATGTTTGTGTGTTTTCATTGCCATCATCAAATACGGATGCATATCTCCTTTTGCCAAGAAGTGTCTATCAAACTTCTCAAACACTGAACTTGTGTGATGTATTGACATTTCTTTTCTCCCTCTGCGTTGACAGTGACGGAGCGCCAGCTAATGACGCTGTCGACGGCATTCGGCGACAACTGGCAGCTTTTGAGCATCCAACTCGGCATGTCCGACTGCCGCCGGGAAGAACTCACCGGAAACAACAATAACACCATCCAACAGAATATTTACAGCATACTTAAGGAATGGGTGAGGGTAAACGCCGAGAAAGCCACAAGTCGGGTTCTCTTCGATGCAATCAGCTCCCTCAAGGATGCTGGAGTTGTCACTGTTGATATGGACGTCGTTCATAAAGCCTGTAACTTTAAGGAGGAGGACCTTTAGTCAAAGATCGTCAGTTCTATGTGCCTTGGATTGGAGAGAAGGACTTTAAAGAGGTGGACTTTTAGTCAAAGATCGTCAGTTCTATGTGCCTTGGATTGGAGAGAAGGACTGCGAAAGCCTGAACTATATATTCCGCGAATTACAACGGTCCATGAATATAGACACTGTCTATATGCCTTTAAATTAAGCTGATTGTCCTCATGATTTCCGTGGTTTAAAATATGTATTTAACAGTATACAGCTCACACTTTAGAGCTGCTTTAGGATTTCTGATATTTGAAGAAGATTCCCCGATCAACGTGCCTTGGAATATCATAAATATATTTTGGTATATTTACACATCAAAATTCATCTCTCTATTATTCCAGTTTTAGGTTATGTTAGTGGCGTGTGTTTTTAACATTGGTGCACAAGGAGAATATATGTGTTGAATAAATGGATTTGAATGTTTTTGCGCTCAATATGTGTGGACATATCTTGGACACAAATAGTCAGCAGGCCAAGTCAATCACATCAGGGGCGGTGGGGTAGCCCAGTGGTTAAAGCGTTTGCTCGTCACGACGAAGGTCCTGTTCGATTCCCCACATGGGTGCAATGTGTGAAGCCCATTTCTGATGTCCCCTGCCGTGATACTGCTAGAATATTGCTAAAAGCAGCGTAAAAATATACTCACTCACTCACACCTATCCACTCACTTACTCACTCACAAATAGAACATGTTCCATGCCTTTATAGATAACGGCTTCTCGCCTACTGCATAGAGCGACGTTTCGGTGCAGCTCCTTACACCACTATCTAGCAAAAGCTGAGTACAACCAGGTGATAAGAAGTATCTATGCCTAGGGCTCTCACGAGTACTCGGGTACTCGGGGCCGAGTCGGGTAAAGCAGGACTCGAGTCCAATTGAATGGACTCGAGGACTCGCAGGGGAGATACCTCTAAACATCTCATGCAATCAAGATGGATGATCGTGAGAAAAAATCCAATGTCTGGGCGCATTTTTATCTTGATTTAGTGGCCAAAATACGAAATGCCGTCTTTGTGGCGTTTCCCTTAGTTACGCAAGCATTTGTCCTGTAAGCACCCACAATAAGCACTGTAGACAGAAAACCAGCTCAACAAGCAGCGCTGGGGCAGTTTGGTAAGTTTGATAGCAAAAGTCGCAAGCCTGTTGACAGGAAATGGTATGAAGGTATTTCGCAAAAAGCAATGCTTATGCGCGTTAAGGATATGCGACCATTAAGTCTTGTTAAAGGGGAGGGTTTCAGGGCTTTCTGTGAACCATTGAACCCAAATTACCAGGTCCCATGTACTGCGACAATTCACAACTACCTCATAAAGTCGTATGAAGTTTGCAAGGAGAACAAAATATCAGTACCCAAAACAGTACCTGCGCCGTTGCCCTAACTACGGACGCGTGGACAAGCGTAGCCACTCACGGCTGTATCACTGTCACTGCCCACTATACCTATGTTTGAACAACTTGTTTTCTACATAGATATTTAGTCGTTCTTATCCAGCGTATTTCAGTGTTACATATTCAACAATCAACACATACATACGCATTCAAAATAACATTCACACTTGGAGACCTATATCCTTAATAGTGAAAGTTTTAATCACAATGAATACCATTGACGTGATCTCCGTTCAGCAGAGTTTCGGAAGAAGAAATACAATGTAGTGTTACTCAATAAATGGTTAGTCTTTAGTTTGAAACCAAAACGTTTTCACTATAAGAAGTCTCAAATAAACATCAATCCTGTTTTACATATTCTTTAAGTTCCATAGTCGATCCATCTTTACAAGATACTAGTTTCTAATGCAGCACCAATCAATGAATGCTTTATCTATGTATCTTCCAGCTTTGGAACGTGTTTTGCCGCATTTTAACCTTGATTAAGGTTAATTGATTATGTGACTTATCGTCTAGGTGAATGTTTAAAAGTTGCTAATATGTCATAACTGCAACGACATATTAATATTAGATAATCTTGAAAGCGCAGTCAAACTTAAAACCAAAAGAATAGAGAAGTACATTGATTGGTTTCTTTTCCCGGACACATCCAATCATATTACAGCATTTACAGGCGTAATAAGGTAACACCGGCCCAGCTCATGAATATTAATCACATAATTGATCGCGTAGAACTGGGTCACAGTGACACTTACATTGCCTTCACATTCTGTTTGCAATAATAAGAAAGGTAATAGATACTTCCATTGACATTGAATATCAATTGCTTTATTCAGGAACGTTTGGATTCACCCTATCTATGCCGGTATGATGTGACAACTTCAGAATAACATAAACAACAACGGGTAACTGATTACATTCAAGTTGCACATTACTGGATGAGGTCGGATAGGGAATAGGTCAGACTAACATATAGCACAAGTCACGAAGCCAATGTACAGGTAAGGTTATATTGAAAACAAGTTGATTTAATGGATGATATATTTGTCACTTCACAAACAAGATTCATTAACTTCACTTAGCTTAATGGGCAGAGCAACTCGCTAGTATTACATGTTCACCTAACCTGGTGAGCAGAGCAACCCGCCAGTATTACATGTTCACCTAACCTGGTAGGCAGAGCAACTCGCCAGTATTACATGTTCACCTAAGTTGGTAGGCAGAGCAAATCGAGAGTAGGACATGTTCACCTAAGTTGGAAGGCAGAGCAATCCGCCAGTATTACATGTTCACCTAAGTTGGTAGGCAGAGCAACTCTCAAGTATTACATGTTCACCTAAGTTTTTAGGTCAGAGCAACTCACCAGTATTACATGTTCACCTAAGTTGGTGGGCAGAGCAACTCGCCAGTATTACATGTTCACCTAACCTGGTAGGCAGAGCAACTCGCCACTATTACATGTTCACCTAAGTTGGTAGGCAGAGCAATTCGAGAGTAGGACATGTTCACCTAAGTTGGTAGGGAGAGCAACTCGCCAGTATTACATTTTCACCTAAGTTGGTAGGGAGAGCAACTCGACAGTATTACATGTTCACCTAAGTTGGTAGGCAGAGCAACTTGAGAGTAGGACATGTTCACCTAAGTTGGTAGGCAGAGCAACTCGCCAGTATTACACGTCCACCTAAGTTGGTAGGCAGAGCAACTCGCCAGTATTACATGTTCACCTAAGTTGGTAGGCAGAGCAACTCGCCAGTATTACATGTTCACCTAACCTGGTACCCAGAGCAACTCGCCAGTATTACATGTTCACCTAAGTTGGTAGGCAGAGCTACTCGCCAGTATTACATGTTCACCTAAGTTGGTGGGCAGAGCAACTCGCCAGTATTACATGTTCATCGAAGTTGGTGGGAACAGCAATTCATCACAAGAAAAGAGCTTATCTGTCTCAAGCTTACTGGTGTATTAATGTGACCGAGAAACGCCACAGTCCTATTCTCAAGGCGTTCAGTTCTTATTTTAGGACTGACAAGTTTAATACACGGCGACAAAACACTTTGAAAGTATTGACAGACGCTGCTTTCGCTGGTCATTTCAAACGTCCGCTGCGCATATGAATATTTCGTCACAGCGGGCTCAGGTTTTCAGCGTTCATAGATCTCATTGAATATTGATTGGATGTGGATATACGGTAAGAACGCATTTTCAGTAAACCGCACATAACGTCATATTGTTTTTATGAAAATAGAGGAACAGAGCTGTGTAGTTAGTAGTGCCTCTACATACATTTAACCTATATTTGTAGTTTATATGAGGTAGCCCTGCATAGAACAGGCCAACCCGGAAGTGAGTAGATCGGTGTGCATGATTAGTATCACTGGATTGTCTGGTCCAGACTCGATTGTTTTCAGACCACCGTCATTTAGCTGGAATATGGCTGAGCGCGGTGTTAAACAACAAGCAAGCAAACAAACAAACAAGCACTAGCTAGTGATCATTATTTGTCTATATCCCCTCAGCTTAGTTCAAACCCACCCTTACCTACATAGCCTTATGCAGGGCCGAGGGTGTTCAGGATCATGACCTTGACTTATTGTTACTGTACTTATAAGCACTTGTGAATGCCCAATTCATAAAACATACTTGAGCCAACACTCCTTAAAGGCGCAACGCCCTACAGCACAATACAGTACGTGACGCGCTTGACGGGGTACCCGCTCAGAATAGATTTGCATTGCTAATGATTCACCATGAAACGAAGAAATAGTGCGTACATATATCGCTCGAAATAGATTCTTCTTAGTATATCGACTCATTATGGATTTTAGGAAAATGTCCGGAATATTCATTTTTGGAATCTAAAAATAAAATTGGTCTCTTCAAAACACTCTCGAAGTGTAACAGTTCCAGGCTGGTCCTTGCAAGAGAGACGTCACTTTCCTGATGGGGAAGACTCAAACCAACGTTGGATGCATTTTGCTTAGCGACTCCGAGAACCAGATATTATTTGAATGTCTTGGACAAGGTTGTACGGTAAGGACAATTTCTTAAGCGCTAATGAAACGTATTTTCCCCATTGGTTGCCAATGAGATTAATTAGGTGGCTAATGATCAGGGTGTTATAAACCTGGAGTGGCCAAACCACTGGGAGGTGATGTTGGCATCGAACCCATCCATGTTGCGAAGACTCAGTAACTGTGTTGTTTTGAAGGGCCCTATCATACTAATCTTCGTGGGTTCGAGTCCGAGATTCGGTCGGAATAGGCGTTTTTACTGTTAATGGCACTTTTATGTTAATGACACGTGAAGATCTAGGTTAGAATTTATCTTAAGTAACACATGCTTGTCGTAAGAAGCGACTAACGGGATCGGGTGGTCAGGCTCGCTGACTTGGTTGACACATGTCATCCTATCCCAAATGCGTAGATCGATACTCATGCTGTTGATCACTGGATTGTCTGATCAAGACTCGATTATTTACATACCGTCGCCATATAGCTGGAATATTGCTGAGTGTGGCGTTAAACAACAAACAAACAATATGTGTTAATGGGCACAGTGGCTAACTCGCTGTGATATAATAACAGCAATACTGCCTAGCAATTATCAAAAAGACTGTAACTAAATGACATTTCCAACTAGCAACAAGAAAGAAAGAAAGCGAAAAATAGATGACATAGCAGAAGTCACGACAAAAACATCATCATACACTAGTATATTGTTTTTATTATCATTTATGACTATTTTTATTTATACTTTTTAAGTCATGTCATATGTGGTATTATTACCCACGTGGTCAACCTATGGGGTAGTTGCATATTAATCTCGTACGTCACACGAGTGTCGTATCGCGTTGACCTGTGTCGTAACGACTTGACCTGAAATTCTAACGATTTGATTGGATAACCGATGACCTCTCAATTAGGTCACATTCTGACATAACTATTTTTTCATTCATAACAAACACGTGAATTCATTCATTCTACAACTTAAATGCATTGTGGGAATGTAAACATTGCGAACGTTGCCGTGTCGCTGTTTAATTGTGAGTCGAACTGAGACATTATATCTGTCGAAAAACATAAACGCAATGTTTCCACCAGTGATGTTAGCCGAATGAAGCAACTGGAAACCAAGAAACGAGGTGCAACGGAGTAGTTTACTGTAGAAGGCTGTACGAGGCGATGACAACTGACATGCATCGTGACGTCGGTTACCATGGCAGTGACGTCATTAGTGTGACGTCATGCAAATATTGTACTACAGTACAAAACTCTTCCGCAACCTCTTTATGAAACCGGTTTCGGTTTGAAACCAAAAACATAACAAAAATACGCTATTTTGTCAATTTAAATGCATGTAAGACGTGGGTAATAAATAAAATACCACACTCGGTCTCATTACATACGAATTATACGAAACTCGTGACCTTCCTATGTTATCTGACCTCGCTTTCGCTCGGTCAGATACCATAGGGAAGGACACTCGTTTCGTATAATTCGTATGTAATGAGACCTCGTGTAATATTCTCTATTTATACAAGGTCTGCTCGTGTCTGTTACAGACCATTGCGTCTGGGGTGGTGGAGCTGTACCTGACGGAGCAGCAGGGTGGCTCCAGGTGGACAAGATACGCCTGTGGGGTGGCCTGTCTGGTCAAAGACAACAAGATGAGGACATTCTTTATACGGCTGTATGACATACAGGTGAGCTACAGTATGTCCGTTATCAGTTCCACTCCCTTATGGTAACATAGGGCAATGACGAAGAAAATATACTGAGAGAAACAAATAAAGGAACACAGAAAAATTCAAGCGTTCCTTTAATATTTTCAAGTTTTCATCACTAGTTTTGAATCGCGCTGTGGGACGATATCTGAGAATAAATAAAGAAACACTGATGTTTCATCATTTGTTTTCCTCAGTATACAATATTCCAGCATTGTCGCGACAGGTGACACCAGAAATGGGCTTCACATATTGTACCCATGTGGGGAATCGAACCCGGGTCTTAGGCGTGGCGAACGAACACTTTAATCACTAGGCTACCCCCTCGCCACCACTATCAGAGTAAGCCACCTAATCACACAAAAAGCATTGTCTATGTTATTTTGACCACCACATTCACAATGTTTGATTTCAGGCGCAGCGGTTGTTATGGGAACAAGAAATATACATGCAGTTCCGTTACAAGACTCCACGAGAATATTTTCACACTTTCGAGGCTGAAGTAAGAGTTACTAAAATCTACAGTGATATAAACGACGTTTGTAGTACTTGACAGTATGATGCACATATAGAGTGAGTGAGTGAATGAGTGAGTGAGCCACCCACAGCAAGACATTATTGGGTTTTATACATTGTATCCAAGTGGGGAATCGAACCCGAGATTTCGGCGTCGATTCAATACCACCCGGCCACAAGGGATTAAAGAGAGATAGTCAACTGGGTATTTGTGGAAGGTTCTTATTAGTATATATAATAACCCTGTTGACCCTGACCCTGACCCTGACCCTGGCCTTAACCCTAACCCTGACCTTGACCTTGACCCCTAAGCCTATGTATATTATAATTATTATCATGACTTACGTTCACATTCGATTCAGGTTAAAACATATACATACTCTTAGAATAATTAATATTATTTTCATTAGATGTAGTGTCCATTTCCATGTGTTTCAGTGTTCTCAGGCTGGGCTTAATTTTGCCAGTGAAGATGAAGCGAGGAAGTTTGAGGAGACGATGGTGTCAAAACTGAAACAAAGACGCCGGCGTACTGAAAAACGTGAGTAAGGTCACTGTGTGTTGACACATTAGGTAGTGCATTCCTTCATCAGAGCCGAACGTTCCGGTTCGATTCCAGAAATCCTAGTGCGTGGTCTTGTGTATAGCGCCCAAGTCACAGAGTTGAAGTAAGCAACGTTAGTCACTGAGTATGCTTGGAATGGTGACCGTGGTTGGCAGCTTGACTCCTGAGAGTTTCGAGGACTTCAGTCCACCTTAGACATGGAAATTTGTTCAAAATTGGGTGAATGGTATAAGTCATATAACTATTAGTCTTTTATGATGTTTGAGCATGCATGAGTGCGTGAATAGTTTCTTAACGAATGGCCATTATTATTACTGGCAAACAAGGATAAGTTCAGCACCGACCTGACAATTGACTCGTATTAGCATGTATGAGTGCCGCCCACTGGCGCTTGGCATTGTTAGCGAAGGGGCCCCAGGTTGTCCGCGATCAAGTGTAGTGCTACGCCGGCATGTTCTCATTTCGCCTACATCCCAATTCGCCTACAGTCTTACAACAACATTTCTTGGTCTGTTGACTGTTGATTACGCAATGGTAAACTAGTGGCACCCCTATGATCTAAAAGTGGACTCTCCTAGTTAAAGTAGTTGAAGGTCAAAAAGAATCTATTTCTGTTATTTGCCAGTTATTTATTTATTCTGTTATTTGTCATTTCCGATCACAATGATATTCACATCATATCACATTAGTATTAAGGAAGTTACCTTGTGCAAATGTCCACTTAGGAGATAAACTATTGTGTTGGAAAATTAGAGGTTTATAACGAAATTATAATAGCTCTCAATTTGAATTAAAAACCCTACGTGTAGCGTGAGGTTTTAAATACCAAATTTAGAGATATTATAATTTTATCTCCATTCTACCATAGCCGTGTTATTAAGATTAAAAAAATGCATACTGTATTGGAAAAACAGGTATATAACGTGATATACCTCTGAATGACTTTGATTAACCACAATCCAGTATTTACTGAAGGCATGGTAGAATCTCACTTCAACTTGATACGGTGACCAGCCACGTCGAGGACCTAAAGGGGCGATCTTCAGAACATACGTATTTTGTTGCCTACGAATACATAAAAATACCATGATAGTTCAAGCGTTTTGAACATTTGTGATGTGCTTTCTTTGAATACAATTCTGTTTTGGACACCTTATACTTAGCTGTGTACACTTTTCGTTGGAATCGAACACATATCTTTATAACAACAGTCGATCAAGATGTAGTGTGGCACTGACCAGTGAGTCTGGTTCAATATAAGAGCAGGGGTGCAATTTCTAATCCCAATTAGCCTACAGTATTTTTGTATGCGAAATGGGATGTGGGCAAATAGAGATGTAGGCGAATAGAGACTTAACTGCTACACCGTCGTGAGAGTCGTATAAGCAAGGCGTGTGCAGCTACGCGCGGAATCAATTTCATCGTCATGTAATGCACGTGCACTAGCTTACATCTGCTCTGCCTTTCACAAACCAAATGGGTTTGCTCATTGCCGTGCACCGCCTACTTCTCCTAAACGCGTTCTTTGCGCCGGTCCAACTTATCCTGGTTTGCCTGTACAAAAAAGTAATAATATTCCCTGAGGTGTAAAATATCTATTGTCTATTAACCGGTGTCTTGGGTCCAACAGCCCTGCGGACATTGTACGATAGTGTAAGGATACCAGGTGTGGAAGGTCCCATGAATTCAGACCTGCGTAACAATGTCCCGAGACTACTTATCCTGAGAAACCAATGTCCGCCTAGGAGTGAGTGAGTGGGTTTAGTTTTACGCCGCTTTTGGCAATATTCCAGCCATATCACGGCGGGGGACACCAGAAATGGGCTTCACAGTCCACCTAGGAATTAAAGGTCGCAATAAATCAGGAATAAATATCCGGCGTTGGACCTTGTATGCTTGGAAAAACTGTCCTAGGACATATTAATAAGGGACCGAATTTCGAATACTTTTACAAGTGCAGATATCGTATTTCCCGACTGTAATCTCCATATTAGCTGGTTACAAAGTGTTAATGCATGATGTATGTTCAGAGGATCACCGGGGCGGTGGGGTAGCCTAATGGTTAAAGCGTTGGCTCGTCACGCTGAAGACCCGGGTTCGAATCCCTACATTGGTACAATGTGTGAAGCTCATTTCTGGTGTCCCCCGCTGTGATGTTGCTGGAATATTGCTAAAAGCGGCGTAAAACCAAACTCAGTCAGTCAGTCAGTCAGAGGATCACCGAGCCATCTGTTGTGATATATAATCTTCTCATTAATGTTTAAGGTGTTCTGACAAAGCTGTTTATATTGACTGTTTAGGTCGACATGACAGACAGCTGCAAAAGGGCGTGGCTGATACCCCCCAACAGACCGCCGAGGCCTGGTAAGAGACAAATGTTTCACAGTGGTTGATTGAGTAACTGATGTTTAACGAATCTGGGTCACAGAGCCTGCATGATCACCGATGCTCCTTCTGTCTTCTTGCCAAATGGAACCTGAGGACCTATAAGTTGACAGCGAAGATCCGGGTTAGAATTGGTCTTCAGCAACCCATTCGTATCCCAAGTACGTAGATCGATGCTCAAGATGTTGATCACTTCATTGTCTGGTCCAGGCTCGATTTTTTGCATCCCGCCGAAATAGAGCTAGAATATTCCTGAGTGGAGTGTTGAACAGCAAACAAACAAACAGTTTATAGTTCTTCTATGAAAAGAACGACAATCAAAGGAATGTTAGACCAACCGTGTCAACACCCTGTTCTTTGGAAACATACACCGATACAATAATGTTAGTCACTTAATGTGTCAATATATCTAACGCTCTCACTTCTAAATGCCATTCAAAGACCAGGGCCCCGTTCCTCTAAGCGATTGTAGCGCTACGACAGTCGTAAGTCTATGTTAAAGTATGGGAGATACGATTATTTTACTGCTACGATCACTTTAGGGAACGGGGCCCTGGTATCTAACGCTGTGTTTGGTATACTGTAAACGACGAATCACATGTTTGTGTGCTGCAAAGCAATTTGAATGACGATATCCTCATAATGTCACATTACTGCAGTGAACGACCAAGGGTCACCTCTCTCTATCAGCATGCTTGACCACCAGTCTCCAGACCGCCACTATATAGCTGGAACAGTGCAGCGTTAAACCATAAACAGAAAAACTTAGGACATTTTGTAACCTAGGTTCCTGGGTGCTCGGGATAGTTCTAATGTTGAACACGTGAATGCAGTATAAAGATACAACATGTTTGTCATATAAGATACATGATTAAAGGATTATCAAGATCTGACGTGTTCGTAATTAAAATATCATACAAAATGTTGTCTCAGGGTAACTAGACTGTGAAGGCTTGTCTGACTTCAGTGTCTACGCCTGTGACCTTCAATCAGAAGCAGACGACACCAAACGTCAAGGCCGCTCAGAGGACAAAGACGGGCAAGAGGCTGAGCAAGGAGGACATTAGTTTTCCAACAGACTTCAGGTGAGGAGGGGGCACGCCATTGATGTTCATGGTGATGATGTTGTCGATGATGTTGATCGACTCAGGGCAGCTGACGACACCTGATTATCAGATAACGATGTAAAAATTCCTGTGTTTATCTGATGAAGTTACTGGTGACGATGTTCAGTTTCGTGATGATGATGATGATGATGATGATGATGATGATGGTGGTGGTGGTGTTACTGATGAAGACTTTAATGATGTGTTTCATCGTCATAGCGACGGTGATAATCATTCAGTAACTCGCCATATTGTATATTCCTGTGCAGATTTCAATGACGTTGAGTCAAGATTATTATCAAAAGTAATAATAAATTATATAAAAATGCGAGACGACAATTCAATGTAAATAATATTAGATGAATTATAATACTTTTTCACAATTATATTCAGACGCGTCCAACGTATTGGATTTGATACAGATGGCAGTTATAAAGTAAGTATTCAATACAAATAAATGCGTATGTTATTTATTAATGCTTTGTGGACACCACAGTGATTGATCATGACTGGCTCAGTTTAATGAAGATGTGTCCGTCTAAAATGGTAGTGAAGGCACAATTGAGGCTGTAACCCTCACGTTTGACTCTCAAGGACCCTTTTGAACGGAGCGTCTTTATATAGCAGGCATATTACTGGGTGCGACATAAAACAACATTATCTCAGTTAGGGGACTGATCACTTCGATTGTTTGGTTACTGAAGCTCTTGTTTGTCTCTCGAAGACCCCTTCTGAAAGGACGCAATCATGTAGTAGGCAAAATACACTAAGTGCGGCATAAAACAACATTATCTCACTTAGTTGACTGATCAGTGCGTCTATTTCTTTATGGGGAAGGTGGGTAGCCTAGTGGTTAAAGGGTCCGCTCGTCACGCTTGCGACCGGGTTCGATTCCCACTTGGGTACAATGTGTGAAGCCCATTTCTTGTGTCTCCCGCTGTGACATTGCTGGAATATTGCTAAAAGTGGCGTAAACCACACTCACTCACTATATTTATTGATTTACGGCATGTCACGCCTACCAAATCTAAACCTGCTATTGTCATGTTTCAGACCCATATCACCGAACCAGAGATGAAGAGTCTACTCGAGACGATCGGAATTACAGACAGGGACCCCGACACCATCGACTTCATCTACGACTTTGTTGGGCGGAATGGCGGCATGCATACCATTCGCGAGGCAATGGACAACATGTCCAAATCAGCCACCCCCTGCTGGTCAGTGCAACATTTAGATTCATACGTATCCTTCATGCCAGGGTGTATGTATATCTACTGACAAGACGGGTTTAGATAGGAGAAGAGTCTAAACATAATATAATTTGCCGGACCTATATGAATGAATGTTGCTTTTTTTGTATTTCGTCAACTGACTGACTGATTTTGGTTTTACGCCGCTTTTAGCAATATTCCAGCAACATCACGGCGGGGGACACCAGAAATGGGCTTCACACATTGTACCCATGTGGGGATTCGAACCCGGGTCTTCGGCGTGATGTATTTCGTCAAAGTTCCTGCAGCTATTATGTATGTATTTCAGCTCCCACAACGTGCCCACCATCGTCACGACCACCTCCCAGATTCTCAAGCCAGTCAGACCAAGGTCTTCAATCTCCCCAACGTGCAGCTCAATCTGACCAAAGGACACCGCCTTCACGAAAGCAGGGTCCGTCTACCCCTCCTCGACAGACTCCATCTCGACAACGTGACCCTCCCCCTCCTGTAAGACCGGAACCATTAATGCCACCTGTTCGCCAACCCTTGGTACCCGTGTTTTCTCCGACTTCGCAACCGTATAGGGACCGTCCTGTACCTGACCCTACCCGCCTCCCACCCCCACCGCCAGTTGCATGCCAACCTTACTCAGTAAACACTGCTCGACCCCCTCCCCAAACAGCACAAACGCCGTGCCACTTTAAACCAATGGCGCCATCACTTGCCAAACACCATCTGGACCAACCAAAGTCATCATCAGCCTTTGTCTCAGGACGCCCTCAAAAAACTACCGCCACCACCACCGCCAAAACAAACTGTTGCTCTAAATCCACCCCAGAGAAACCCTCCTCCACCACCCCCTTCTGTAGTTTCTCAAGCGCCACTACCGTCTCCTCCCGCCCCACCCCAAGCTCCACCACCGCCTCCCCTTGCTCCACCCCTAGCGCCACCACCGCCTCCTCCAGCCCCACCCGTAGCTCAATCACCACCTCCAGCGCCACTTCCCGGGGATGATGCAGCACCAAGTCAATTACGCGCAAGCTTCTTGAATGATATACAGACTGGCGTCACTTTGAATAAGGTCGAAGTTGGAACGTCGGATTTCAAGAGGGTGAGTTTATAATGATCAACCTTTTTCCTGGGTGTGAGTAAGGGGGGAGCTGAAAGAGAGTGTCTGTGAAGGATGTCTGTGAGAGAGAGGAGAGAGTTTGTGTGATCGAGAGGGAGGGAGTGATTGAGAGTGTGAGAGAAGAGAGAGAGAGTGAATGTTTATTGGAGAGAGATCATGGTGTGTGTTTGAGAGAGAGAAAGATTGTTTATGTGCGAGAGAGAATGTGTGTGAGAGTGAGAATGGAAGTGTGTGTGTTTTAGAGAGAGAAGAGAGAGAGAGAGAGAGAGAGAGAGAGAGAGAGAGAGAGAGAGAGAGAGAGCCTCTTTGCGTGTAGTCACAACATTATAGCTGGTTAAAGTCGGTGGATGATGGTCACTCCAAGTTTCATTGTTTCAATAACAGCTTCAGCTCCTTCTTCCCCTCCACATTGATCATCTCTTGTATCGATGTACGGTTTTCAGAGGCAGTCTCGTGGTGACGGGCTAATACCACCCCCCGCCGACGAAAGCAGCAATATTATAGACATGCTCCGCCATGAAATTGAAAAAAGAAAGGCTATCATTCAGGGGACAGGTAAGCTTAACCTGGGAGATTGCATTCAATGGAAAGAAGCATAACAAAGAATATATATTCAATTAGTTTGTCAAGGTGAGGTGAGGTGAGGTGAAATTGGCTTTTACGTCGTGCTTGAGAATATTTCGCTCATATGACGACATGCATGCGTGTGTATGTGTATGTGCGGCTGCTTGTACTAGCCCAGACTTAAGCTGGTTTTATAGTGCTAGCCCACTGAGATACCATGCCGCAGTGAAGCATGAATACCCCACTCAGACACATTATACTGACTCTGAGCCGACCAGTCCTTGTTGTACCCATTAATGCCGAGCGCCAGGCAGGGACCAACAAGTACCATATTTTAACGTCTTTTGGTATGACGCGGTCGGGGATCGAACCCGCGACCTTCCTCTCTCCGGGCGGACGCTCTAACCACTACACCACGGAGACGGTCGTTTGTCAAAATCATTGAACAAAACAGTTTCACTCGAAACACAAGACACGTGCAAATCACGTGTGACATCCATGCCTTAGAAGGTGTCATGTGCTTCCTTGATGAAAGGTGCGGAAGGGTAACCTAATGGTTAAAGCGTCCGCTCGTCACGCTAAAGACCCGGGTTCGATTCCCCTATAATGTGTGAAGCCCATTTCTGGTCTCCTCCCCACCGTGATATTGCTGGAATCAGAGACCACATAATGATATTGATTATATGGTCTCTGCTGGAATATTGCTAAAAGTAACGTAAAACTACACACATTAACTGACTCCTTGGTAAAAAAAAACCCGCTTTGAACAGTGTGTGGGTCGCAAATCAACGCACGGCAGAGCGAACATATTTACTAAGGGAGGCTACTCTACACATCACATGGACTTCCACACTGCACAAAGTGAAACAAACCCATATGTTTGTCACGGTGAGGTGATGTATTTCACGACTCACAAATGTGCGTCAGATATGTTCAAAGGTCTTGAATGAATATTCGTCGTATCGACATCTTCGGAAGAAATATTAAGGTCCTGTAATTAAAGCAATTAATAAATTCTTACATTTTTCAGTACACTGTCCTTCACCATTTAATTAATTTACAGGGCCCTCCTATTTCCCTGTTCCGTGGACCCCTAGTTTTGTAGGCATAGAATTTTATTGCAATGGGTTATTGTCCCTATAACCTACCCAGCCCAAGACAGGCTAACAAGTACCCTTTTTGTGACGTGTTTACGGTGTGACACGACCGAGAATCGAACTACCAAACTCCAGCTCTCAGAGAGACGGTCTCCAGTAGACAACGGATGCGGTCTGCCTAATGAACGTTTTACTCAGGAACAAAACTCTAACATATCAGGAAACGATTGTCTGTGTCATTATATTTTCCAAATTTGGTTGAGATATGAGACATTTCGTTCTTACTTTTTAAATCCATATTTCTTTCATTGTTTTTTGTTTAACGCCGCACTCAGCAATATTCCAGCTATATGACGGCGCCCACATGGGTACAATGTGTGAAGCCCATTTCTGGTGTCCCCCGCCGTGATGTTGCTGGAATATTGCTAAAAGCGGCGTAAAACCATACTCAGTCAGTATATGACGGCGGTCTGAAAATGATTGAGTCTGGACCAGACAATCCAGTGAACATGAGCATCGATCTGTAAATAAAGCGCAATTGGGGTACGATGACATGTCAACCAAGTAAGCGAGCCTGATTATTAATTCAAAGTCGCAACATTCTGTATTGTAAATATTTACTACAAATTACTGTTTGTCTATTGAGATTGAATTTGTTCTGGTTTCAGATGACGAAGATTTTGACGCTGAAGGCTATGATCAGGACTGGGATGAGGATGAAATGTGATATATATTATGACATGGTTAACTTTACAGCTGTATACCACATCATACTAAGTGGTGTTGACACCAAATAGCCTGTCTCTTCAGCAACATGAGTCAGTTTGCTACTTTTGAGTTAGTTTACACGTCACGACATCATTACTGGAAAAAGTTACTTTCTTGAATAGTTCACTTCTTGTATTTTGTAGTTTTCAGCAGCAGGAGTTTCTTGTTTTCATTATTTTGTTTTGACTTGTATTACAATACAATAAATATAGCAATCACAATATATGACGCACCAACCTATCAACAGGGTTGGAGAGCTGTTGTTTATATTACTATATTGTTATCTATATTGTACACTCAGAGAGAACGGAAACCAAAGTACGGATGTGGTGTGTGTTAAAAGGATGGGCGTGGTGTGTGTTAGAAGGATGGGCGTGGTGTGTGTTAAAAGGATGGGCGTGGTGTGTGTTAAAAGATGGGCGTGGTGTGTGTTAAAGGATGGGCGTGGTGTGTGTTAAAAGGATGGGCGTGGTGTGTGTTAAAGGATGGGCGTGGTGTGTGTGTTAAAAGGATGGGCGTGGTGTGTGTTAAAAGGATGGGCGTGGTGTGTTATAGAAGGAGTAGCTTACGCCTTAATCATAAGAATTGTGTCCCTTGGTCGTGCCATGATCCGCTGGCATATTTCAGATAAATTCTAATGATGAATCACCAGCTACATCCATACTAGTTGTTGGGTCGGTGAGGCAGGCTTGTCGTTCGCTCGTCACACCGTAGACCCGGGTTCGAGTCCCCATATAGGTACAATGTATGAAGCCCATTTCTTGTGACCCCCACCGTGATATTCCTGGCATACTGCTAAAAGCGGCGTAAAACCAAACTCACTCACCCACTCGTTTTATAGTTCGACGTCATTCTTGAACGCCCTCGACTTGTGTCACCTTGGGACATTTTTCTCTCAAGGTTACTATCTTACTGAGAGTGTTCAGAATGGCCTTAAACGCCGACCCTATCATTCATACCGTAAAACAGAAAGGGTCAGGTTTCTTTATCATGGCAAATTTGCTTATAAACATGCTAATATATACTGTAAACACATGTTTATACGAGGTCATTAAGATAATTGATCAACGTTTTATTCAACAGAGCAGCAATGTATTTACGTGTTTTAAATAATAAATAAATTGTGTTCATTTTTCCGTTGCGGTTGTGTATTCCTATCTCGACAACATTATGCAGCACTGCCCATTAAGTACTGCATGTTCACTTCACGTCAGTACTACCTAGGAGAGGATAACAAGATATGGATTAACAGCTTCTTTATTGTAGCGAGAGCAACGTTTCGGTGTAGGTTCTAACACTGTTATCAAGGCACACTTGTGTTATCGCTCTCATGCATTAAAGAAGTTGTTAATCCATATATTGTTATCTTTTCTCAGTGCTCCAACTTCTAAATTCCTCTCAAAGAACTTATATAAGTACTACCTAGTACGCTGATGATGTTGATCACTGGATTGTCTGGTCTAGACTCGATCATTTACGGATCGCCGCCATATATCTGGAATACTGCTGGGTGCGGCATGATGGTTGCTGGTTAGGGCTGCACTCGGCAGTTCGCTAGCCGTCATATAGCTGGACTCACTCACTCCACATAATATGCGCTACGAGAGTCATAAGTATATGTTTAGGTAATGGGATAGTCTGCCGTACAGACCCTGAAGCAAATGTATCCAAGAAAGCCCACGCAAGTCTAGAAAATGTGGCAAGTCTAGATTTCCTCAGCTTCTGAAAATGAAGAAAGTCTCAGGGCTCCTTTTCATTATATTATATTTTCTTTTACTATGAACTTTTTCAGTAAAATATGTTCATTTCAGAGACTAGTTGTTAGTCTAGTAATGGGAGTTACGGTCACTTTGTGGGACTGTAAAAATCAACTCTGTACCAGACAATCCTGTGAATGACATGCGAAACGACACACGTCGTTTAGTTATAACAGGGAGACTATATAACGTTGTTGTAGATATGATGACTCGCAATCAACCTAAAGTACTGTCGGAAATAGAAAAAACTGTTTTTAGGCTGTTACTCTGTATCCCTAAAATTGACACGATTGCAAATAGCATATGTCGAAATAACCCACATCGGCCTAACTGGGCGTTCAGTGGGACGCGTAATAGGATACCCAGGAAAGCATCCTTACTCGTAAAATCGGGCAAAACTTAGAAAAATACGAATAGCTGTTGAAAACGGTGTCAGCCCGATCTGTCGACAAATGAAAAATAGGATGTTGCTAACCGTCGACAGAACAAAAACCCGGAGTGTGGACATCACGTGGTCAACATACCGTGACGGTGTTAATTAATGAAAGAGAATGTTTGCTTGGTGATTTGCAAGTGGCTGTGGTGGTTATGTTCGATTCATGAGTAAATGAATTAAGTTAATTATAGAGAATGTCTTTTTAACAATTTGTAAGACAATTAAGGTTGCAAACAGACTATTATTTTACGTTATGCGAGTGGAAGGATTACCATTTTGGAGTTTAACTTGCCAAAAAATTCCCGAAAGAAACAGAGAGCTAATAAACTATTTTGGATATTGGGAGTAGAAGGATTATCGAAATGCTGTTGAAAACATTTATTTGGATACATTTGGATTATGTTACTACCACCTGGATAGAAGGTCCATGGACTCAGCCAACTTGGAATCATGTTGAAAATGATGGACACCAGAACTAACAATAATTTGGAAGGTTGGCGCAACAAAATCAACAAGTATGCCATGAAGACACATCTGAATGTATTTGAGGTTGTGCAAATGCTGCAAAAGAACAGTCATCTACTGAAGTTAAAACCCAGCAGATCCAAGGACAGCAGAGAGATCCCGTCCGTAGACGTCGCTACCGAATCATCGACGCTAGGATTCGATCCTTGAAGGCCGACCTTCTTGCCCACAGACTTACTGACTTGAACTACACAGACCATGTGTCAAGAAGAAATATCTGGACTCATCTTTTATATATTTATTGCTTATACACCAGCATAAATCACTTATTTCTATTGATTACCTACACACATACACACACACACACACACACACACACACACACACACATATATTGTGTGAGATTTATGAAATATATATACAAACATGTTATACTCTGTGACATATGATACATACATGTTATTATATTGACTAAATAAAAATGTTGTCTTCCATATATATTGCACTCTGTTTTTAATTGGTTTGTTAATTTCGAGAACACTGGGCGTGAAGTCACTCCTGTAGAACATCATCTCCCTTTCCCCGGACTGTCAACAAGTTGTTTGGATGGATTATTTGTTGTTGTCGACAGTCCGGGTATAAACCGTTGAAAACAATAGTCAGACGATAGAAATTAGGTCGCTCAGCCAGGCATGACGACGGACCGTCGACTCACATGGCTTGAAATGCTCGTGCTGCCCACAGGCACAAGGGGTCATCTCAAAGATATGTTATGCTTTTCATGTGTATTGAATATGTCTCTATTGATTATATTATCTTAGCTGATATCTCAGTACCCCAGCCCGACCCCAACCACCGTCTGCGACACCCGTCCTGGTTTTGCTTTTGAGACGACCCCTCCTACCTGTTTCTTTTATAGTGATAATGAGACGCAATGGTAGCTACATTCTTAATAGTTTCAGTATTAAAGTTATTATTTTTTACGTCTGCTATCGTTTATAATGAAGCTAAGTCTAATTTCAAAATGATCATTTAAAAAGTGTCCTTTGTAATACAATATCATCGCACACTAATTTGCATAAAGCCATGATCTGTTCTAAATAAGTCGCATTCGAAAGAACCGCATTGCTCTCATTTCTGCACTATTCTCCTCAGTAAAATCCTTCTTTTACGTTTCCTATCTCCCTCCCACTGAGACTGTAGTTAGGCCGAGCTTAGTTTAACAGATATTTCACACTTTCACATATTAACTACCTAAATTGTAGGTATAAATGTGAAAAAAACAGTTTTCTATTTCCGACAGTACTTCAGTTATCGAGCAAGACCACGGGATCTAGAAAGTTACCAAATACTAACAGCATGGGTTGCTGGGGACGTATTCTAATCCGGACATCGTCGTCGTCATCATCATCATCATCATCATCCATTGCTGGTGTCCCATATTCCTGGCATACTGCTAAAAGCGGCGTAAAACCAAACTCACTCACTCACTCATCATCATCACCATCATCAACAGCAACAACAACAACAGTACGAAACAGACCACACATTTACAAGGCCAGGCTGTGATGTAGTAGTTGTACACAGAAATATATTCTGGCTGTACTATATTGCTACCAGCGTCTGTCTCTCTGTCCCGAAAGAATAAATAATTTTGAGTAGAAGAGTGATTTGACCTTTTTCAAGTCTGTGTTACCTCAACCTTCGAAATTAAGAGTTGCTAAGTTCTTTTTGGATTATATTTATGTTTTCCCTGACTAAATGTCAGTTCCGTGCTGTCTGTGCATAATCGAATATGAAAGTAGTACCATTTACAAACAGTTATATGTTTATACAAGAACAATCTCTGTATCTTCGCGCAGCCTTAGTTGTTAACTGGGCTCTTTCTAACGGTAACTTGTAAGCTCTACTCCAGCGCGTGTCACTGTCGTCAACCTCCTTATTGCAATAACAATTAGCATGCCTCTAATGATGACCCAGGGAACCAGGCTGCTAATGATAACAGAAACACGCTGTGAGGAGGCAGTACAGGTGCGCACTTGATTCTAACGTTGAACTAGTTTAAGAAAACGAGTTTCACGGACACGTCCGGAAATTCCCGAAATGCCCGGAAGTAGTTTTGATGACGTGAACTTGAACCAGGAAGTTATCGGGACAGACTGGCGACTTGGATGCACAGAATCTTACAATGTCGGCCCAAAATCGACAAAGGCCTGTCAACAGTTCATGTATTTTGCTGAATAATTCTGAAAACGATTTACTGTTTGGATGTCTGGGACGCGGGTGTACGGTAAGAAAAAGAAACCGGTCGTATTAAGTTAGAGGCGTTTCTTCAATCAAGATGATGATGAAAGGAATATGGTGTGTGAAACTAGTGTCGTGTACAAAACACCGCAAAGTTTTATATCACTTATTTATAAACTTTCTTTTCTATGTATTATATTCTTGGGAAACAAACAAATCTTAGATCTTTATGGCCTTTCATGCAGACTGAACGCCACAACGTTACTTCGTGACTGTCGAAAGCTTAGTGTATTGCGAAACACTAGAATTTAGAATTTAGAAATAGAACACAAAATGATACAAATAGGATATCAGTGATTTCACCTGCGTGACTACATTTGTAAGCTTAAATTGGTTAACACAGGTCAGTACAGTGGTTAGTGCAGGTCCTGCTGATGCTGTATGATCTACAGGCTGGTGATATGTCACATATTAACAGTGTATGAAATAAGGACCGCCCGAGACGGGCTAGATTTCTGACGGACGGTCTAAATTTACAGCTAGCCAGCCCGATGGTCTGGTACAAATTTTAGATGTTCCATACATCTAAGTTATTTCACCATATTTGGTCTGATTAAATCCATTTTGGGCTGGTAACATTTTTAAGTTACCAGTCCTGATGTCTGGCTGGATTTTTGGCTTATTTCATACACTGATATTAAGCTGAACTCCATCCTACAGAACAATAAAGGCAGTCCCTTAGTCTGTCTCACAGTCCCTGAACCACATTGATTACCCTGCTGCCTAGCCATCCTTGCATTGCTAAGGCCCTAAATGAAGCAAGTCTACATTTCCCCAGGAATCTCCCAGTTGAGTTTTACTCCGCGCTCAGCATTATTCCAGCTATATGGTGGTGGTCTGTAAATAATCATGTCTGGACCAGACAATTCAGTGATCAACAGCATGAACATCAATCTACGCAATTGGGATACGACGACATGTGTCAATCAAGTCATCGAGCCTGAAAACCTGATCCTGTTAGTCGCCTCTAAGTCTTATGACAAGCATGGGTTACTGAAGATCAGTCCTAACCCAGATCTTCACGGGTACCCATCTCACTGTGGCTCCTTTTCAATTTTAATGTGTTTATTTGTTACTATCAAAATTATGTATTTTCAGGGACTAAGCGTTAGTATAGCAGTCCCTTTACTATCGTTACTTGATTTGATGGATGTCATATTTGTTGTAGACACTTTCCTCGGGGATAGTGCAGCTGTACCTGTCAGACTCTCCTGACAAGTCAAGATGGAACAAGCGCTTCGCTGGCGTGGTGGCGTTTGTGAAGGACAACACCAAACGTTCCTACTTCATCCGCGTCTTACGACATCAGGGTAATGGGGAAGTCAGTGTAATCGAAATGATAACATGGGAGCTGACATATTGGTTAATGTCAGTAATGTATCCTTGGACACTTGTGTTGAAGTACAAATATTTCATTATAACAGGGTTTTACCTCGACTCACAAACAATTATTAGGTTTAGAGGTCCTTGCAGGTAATGTGAAAGTCCATTGAAATAACAGTGTTCAGAACTGTACATTTTGACAATTCCTTAGAGCCTGGAATGAATAGTTGATCATATGGACTGGTGGATGAAATGATGCATGTAGCTGCTTTGAAAGAAACAACCAAACACTTAGCAAAGTCATAGATATGTTGTCAGTACACTGAATAATATTGTGCGTCCCTCTTGGCGCAGTGAAGTTTTTTCTGCATCCATTCTCTACATTTGTACACACATTTGTGCATCGCGCAAAGCGCTGTGATAAATGATATTGTACCGTTTTGCCATATCTAAGTTTGTTAGTGAGTTGTTGGGTCGTGATGATGAATTATCCTGCTTGCTCTTTTGTCCTTACTATTTTTATCTGATTTATCCGAAACAAAGCATTAAACTTTATAAAAAGTTAAATAACTTTGAACTTGAAGACAAAACATAACAAGAATTTCATGCACATTCTCTTTGTGTTTTGACCCGGCAATATTCTTGATGTTTACTATTGAAGTTGAACTGTGACCTATTTTCATACGTTTGTTTGTTTGTTAGTGAAAATTGCCTTTTCCAGAAACAACAGTTGCTGTGGGAACAAGAACTGTACAATCAGTTCCGTTACAAGAGTCCAAGAGAGTATTTCCATACATTTGAAGCTGATGTGAGTATCAGTCAAAAGAAACTTGTCATAGTCTGATAACTGTTATTGCTAAATGACTGTTGATAACATTTGCTGGTTTGTTTCCATGACTCGTTTCATCCTCATTTTCATGATAATGGCTGCTGATTTATATGTTTGACCAAATATTTTTAACAAATCGGCAAACTTGAACTGGTTGTAAAGCCACCACTACTGGCACTGACCATGGTTTCCAGGTGAACAGTTGACACAGTAGCAATGGTAAAAACAATGGTTAACAATGTTATTTCTGCATCTTGTTTCAGCAATCTCAGGCAGGGCTGAATTTTGCCAGTGAGGATGAAGCCTTGAAGTTTAAGAATGCTGTGGAGAGCAAGTTGGCTGAGAGACATCATCGTAAAATGCGTAAGCCAAACTTATTGACAAAATTTTACAGAAGATACCTGTGAAGATCTGGGTTAGAATTGGTCTTCAGTAACCCATGTTTGTCATAAGAGGCGACTAATGGGATCAGGGGGGTCAGGCTCGCTGACTTGGTTGACAGATGTCATCATATCCCAATTGCGTAGATCGATGCTCATGATGTTGATTGTCTTGACCAAACGCTATTATTTGCAGACTGCTGCCATATAGCTGGAATATTACTGAGTGCGGCGTTAAACAACAAATAAAACACTGTGAAGAGTTGCACCCATTCCCAATCAGGATTCGCAATTTCTAATGAATCTTGGATTTGCTAGTAATGAGTATAAATCTCTAATCGTGCTAATGGCACAGATGCCAACTCATACGATTTTATCGTATTTGTTACGAAAAAATATCACAACATATGTGACTACGATAGCAGTGAAAATATGCAAATTTTTAAAGAAAATACATTAAGTTATATTTTGCATCAGCTTTTGGCCAAAATACTAACTGGGCTAAATTAGGGTTGGCAACTCTAACGGCTCAGACAATGATCTTTTGTCTCCATCCACAATTGCTGAATGTTTCTGACCCTTCTCCCCAGGGATGGGGTGAACACCCCAGGTTAACGTTATGGGTGCACTGGATAGAATTTTTCTTTGAGAGCGGAAGGGTGGAGTTCAGATTCGCTAGTTTTAATGAATCAGATGATCAGATACATCATACTAAATGATGTTAAAACATGGTACTTTTTGTTACATTGCCTGGCGCTTGGAATTAAGGGAACAAAACAAGGACTAGACAACATGGAGTCAGTATCCTGTCTCAGTAGAATATCCATGTGGCATCTCAACGGGCATACAGTATAAAATAGATCTCAAAAAAGTATAGATACCCACTTGGAATTGGAAATACCTACTTAGTTTAAAAAGTATGGGTATCATACCTACATGGCCAAAGGCTTATCTGGAGCGCAGCATTCTTGTACATGGGTGTCACCATAGTAGTGCAGCAGTCGTGATTGTGAACTTGTATCACCTCACCTTAAGCAGGATCATCAAATTAATTAGATTGTTGGGGAATATGCATGAGATAGAAATACTACATATGAAATGAATTTGAAATAAATTGCATCTTTTTCTGTTTATGTAAAGAGAAGACCCAGAGGAAGAAGAATACGGGTGCCGTGGGTGCCAGACAAGCTCCACCTCCAGGAGGGGCACCTGCTCAGCCAAACAGACCAGCGCCAGGTATGATGACATGGTTAGAGAGGCATAAACTTCAAAGTTCTTAGTTCCAGCAACTTATCTTGAGTCATAAATATTTAATTTACTTTAGATTTATATAAATTAGCATGTTTTGGAGGTTATTTGACCTAATTTCAGTATTGAAATAACTAGGGTTGTTACTATATATCTCTGACGATAAGTGTGTCAGTATCTGAATCATGATATAGGATGTAACGCTGTACACTCTTTGTTACATTTTTGTATCAAATCTTTCGGGGCGGTGGGGTAGTCTACTGGTTAAAGCGTTGGCTCGTCACGCCAAAGACCCGGGTTCGAATCCCCACATGGGTACAATGAGTGAAGCCCATTTCTGGTGTCCCCCGTCGTGATATTGCTGGAATATTGCTAAAAGCTGCGTAAAACGAAACTCAGTCAGTCAGTCAGTATCAAATCTTTCATGTGGTTTAACTGACATAGCATTTTTAGTTTAAATGTGGGTTGTCATGTGACCTGTCTCCATAGTCTTTACCTGGACTGCATGCACTGTAGCCCAGGATGTACCTGGCAGACTGCCCAGAGAAAATTTTGGTTAGAATTGGTTTTGAGCAGCCCATGCTTTTCATATGAGGCGAGTAACAGGATCAGGACAGACTTGCTGTCTTGGTTAATGTGTGTCATGATTGTGTAGATTGTTTCTCAAGATGTCATTAAATGTCATTTAAATGTCAATCCATAGATTATCTTGTTCAGTCTCGATTATTGACAAACCTCATCCCATGTTGCTGGGAGGGACATCATAAAAACCTGCTAGACCACAGTTATGGTGCCCTTTGCAAGGCAAAATCAGTAACTTTTGAGAAAGGAATGGTGAAAAGTGGTATAAATCTATGATTTTTGAAACACTTATTAGTGAAACACAGCCTGTAACAACTGTTTCTGTTTCAGCAAATGCTCCGGTTACACTGAACATTGTGGACTCCAACAAACAGAACGGTTCCAAGAAGAGCAACAAAGACAAGAAGGACAAGAAAGGGGGGCCGAAGAAACTGACCAAGGAGGACATCAGTACCCCGACAGACTTCAGGTACGGTCATACTCCTTTTTCAGTCATATTGTGTTAGTAGCTGGCAATGTGAAGGTGGGGTAGCCTAGTGGTTAAAGCATTTGCTCATCGCACCTAAGACCGGGGTTTGATTCCCAAGATGGGTACAATGTGTGAAGCCCATTTACGGTGTCCCCCACCGTGGTATTGCTGGAATATTGCTAAAAGAGGTGTAAAAACAACCCATTCACCCACTCACTGCCTCGTGTGGCTGGCACTACTGTTGGGAAAACAAGTAAGAGTAGGTCCCCAGCAACCTATGCTTGTTGTAACAGGCGATCAAGTGGTGCATTAACAAACATGTTGGTGGAATCTTTTGAATTTCCTCAGTACTTTGATGGGAATTGGTATTTAATCTGAGAATGTATGCTCTCTTTATATACATGCTGGTATGATTGTATTTTATGATTGTTTCATATTTCAGACATGTCAGCCATGTTGGTTGGGATCCCGACAAGGGATTTGATGTAAGTAAAACTTTCATGATTTATTCTGGTTGTGTAACAAAATATATCCCCTGTAATTTAGATGAGTTTGTTTTTTTCTCACTTCAGGTATTCACTCCTTACCCCACCCCATGGACTGATTCCTTACCCCCACCCCATGGACTGATTCCTTACCCCAATCCCATGGTCTGATTTCCTTACCCACCCCATGGACGGATTCCTTACCCCCACCCCATGGACTGATTCTTCACCTCACCCCATGGACTGATTTCCTTACCCAACCCATGGACTGATTCTTCATCACCCATGGACTGATTCTTCACCTCATCCCATGGACTGATTGACTGATTTTCACCTCCCCCACTGGACTGATTCCTTACCCACCCCATGGACTGATTCTTCACCTCACCCCATGGACTGATTTCTTACCCACCCCATGGACTGATTCCTTACCCACCCCATGGACTGATTCCTCACTCCCCACCCCATGGACTGATTCTTCACTTACCACCCCATGGACTGATTCTTCACCTCACCCATGGACTGATTCCTGATTTCACCCACCCACCCCATGGACTGATTCTTCACCTCACCCCATGGACTGATTCCATTACCCCACCCCATGGACTGATTCTTCACCTCACCCCATGGACTGATTCTTCACCTCACCCCATGGACTGATTTCCTTACCTACCCCATGGTCTGATTTCCTTACCCACCCCATGGACTGATTCCTTACCCACCCCATGGACTGATTCCTTACCCCCACCCAATGGACTGATTCTTCACCTCACCCCATGGACTGATTTCCTCACTGCACCCCATGGACTGATTAATTTCATGCCTCCCTTGAAGTGATTAAATAGGCACTTTCAGTGTGTGGTGTATCAGAACATATCAAGGACCATTATAGCTTTGTATCAGTCATTGCCACATAATGCTAAAGAAGTGAGAAATGTTAACGTTTAATTTTACTTTGTGAAATGAATGCTATGTTAAATTATAGTGGCAATATCAGTGAAAACAGCTCAGAGTGGCAGGGCAGTCCAGTCAGTCATGTCACAAACCACACACAAATATCCTGTTTAATCTTCAGATGAACAACCTGGAACCGGGACATGAAGATGTTGTTCCAGTCTGTAGGAATTAAGCCTGAAGACCAAGTTGACAAGGAAACTCTCAACTTCATCTACGACTTTGTTGAGAAGAACGGTGGCATTGAAGCTGTCCGCAAAGAAATGGCTGGTAGGCCCGCACCACCACCACCCCCTGCGTCTGTTGGTTAGAGTCCCACATTTTGTTTATTTTGCTGCTTCATATCTATCCGCAACTTTGTATTTTAGTTCATTTTAAGTTGTAGTTGGTGAGGCAAAGTAATAGCATGAGACACTGCGATCGGGCCATGGTACGCTCAGTGATTGTAGTGCTAAGGAAGTCGTAAGTGCAATCGTACATGCTGTCTTGTGACAGTCATAATGCTACGATCACTTTTGTGTAGCAGGGACGTTTCTTGTGACACTAGCCTACTAACACTGCAGATATATTGGTTTGCTTTACTAACTCACAACCTACAAAATGAGTCTTGAATATTTTCACAAATACTGAACATTCATCTTTCTGCATTACATTGCAAAGAATTCACAAAAGACGCATCAGAAATAAGGACACTTTATAAGGGGCAGCTGATCTTCGATTATCCAGGACTGTTATAAATACCCTGAATGTTGGAAGTGACATCACTATCACAGTCACACAAACACTAAGTTTAAACACTAATACTTTTCCACTCATGACCTTGAAATCGACAACCAATCAAAATGAGTGTTCTAAAGGAGAGTTTGACACAGGGCAGGGGAACATTCTAAATTACTGTCAAGTTTACATTCTCAACACATTCATTTGTGAGGGATTTTTTCATTTTGAAAGAAATAGAAATTTGAAACAGAACTATATACTAATACACGTGATAAACAGTATATATATATTGTGTGAGTGGTAGATAAAGGATGTACCTAATATTTCTTTTTTAACTACCAAAGAACATATATCATTTTATTTTTATGACGTCATTCTATAGTTTCAAAACAGCTTCACTTGTAACCATGGTAACCTTTTCTACAGACCCCACAAAATACTCAAGTTTTGTGTTAGTCAGACATCTTGTGCCCAAGATATTTGTTCCTGCTTTTAGATAAACCTGAAAATCTTACGAAAGGGCTGTACTCTCCAATACACAATGATACAACCAACTATTGCAACCAACCAAGAGCCTTTCTTTTTCACAATTGTAGAATTATGCTAAAATACAGAGTTGTGTCCCTTTTGTGAATTACCTCCCCTTGCACATTTCTCCTGCACCTATCTCGCTCTGCATCTGCTTCTTATAGTTTTTTAGTACGCAGGAAGGTGGGAAGCTCTGGTGGTATTTATGTATCGTTATTTATGTTGTGTTCATTGTAACATGTTGAAATTCTTCAATATTTTGATATTTTATATTGATTTTTTCTCTTCCGTTTGATACAAATTGAGTTGTGTGTTATTTTAGTGTTATCACACAAGAATAATATTTAGAAATTCCGAGTATAAGAAATTCTGAGTTAGTGATATTTTTCCTTGTTGACTGAAATTAGTATGTATGTTAATATAATGTGTCAGTTTTGGTAGAAGTGGCCATCTCACTGTCAGGTGTAGTGTAGATGCGAATGCGGAATTGATCTGCTGATGCACTGGTCAGAGAGCAACATTGATCTCAATGAAACTGGGACTGTTTGTCATTTTGTAAGTTAGATTAACTTGACTGACAGCAGAATAGCTTCATTTGGATAACATATCATCTTATCATCCTGGGGCCGTGTGGTAGCCTAATGGTTAAGCGTTGGCTCGTCACGCCGAAGACCCAGGTTTGAATCCCCACATGGGTACAATGTGTGAAGCCCATTTCTGGTGTCCCCTGCCGTGATGTTGCTGGAATATTGCTAAAAGCGGCGTAAAACCAAACTCAGTCAGTCAGTCTTATCATCCTGATTATATCTGTGATTCAGTGTAGTCATGTGATCATCTTGAAGGAACTTAAACACAGTGTGATTTCAGAAACAAATCCTTGTGTTTCTATATTCTTCCAGCCTTACTTTGAGCATCCATTGTGGTAATTATTAGGGCTGGGACGGGTAGAAATTTTGGACATGGTACCCAAGGTAGTAGTACCTGGCTTGGGTACCCATTACAGCTGGATTTACAGTTAATTCTATTACTCCTGTGACAGCCATGGTAAATGACACTTGTAGTGTCTGGTCATATTTCAGTCAACGCACAAAACCAATTTGCACCAATCGTTGACAGTGTATCTTAAAGCCTCATATACTGATATAGAATGCGCCTTTTATAGATATTCTGTTTGCTGTACCTAAGGTAGCATTACCTGACCAGGGTACCCGTTACAGGTGAACTTAGAGTTAATTCCCTTACTCTTGTGACAGTCGTGTTGACGGAAACTTTAAAAAGTGCTGACTGGATATATTTCATACAACCAGCTTGCACCAATCGTTGACAATGTAGCACAAAGTCTTGTATAGAATGAGCAATTTTGTTATGGTCATTTCTCTGATTCTGTGATATAAACTGTAAGTCTGGTTCATCGTTTCAGTTCAGTGAATTTATGTCATGTATCAGACTATCAGTGTGACCGGACCGAATCCGATTACCAGGTATTGGTAGAATATTCAGGACCCAGTTAGTGAAACTAATTTACCAGACACTCAGGTAACCTATCCCAGTCCTAGTAATTATTTACACTTAATGAAGTGTTGCAAGACATTGATTTCGTTGTGGCATCTCTGCCCTCCTATCAATGCTGCACGATGCTTGCTAACTTTGTTGCTACTAAAGTCACAATCTACAACTCCTATATCTCATTCAGTGTGTTCAGTACATGTATATACAAAACTGCTAAAGTCGCATGTTATTTCAGCACCTACTCCTCCAGCTAGACCAGGACCAGGACCAGGAGCAGGAGCCCCCCCACCCCCTCCTTCCAGGAACACTGGACCTCCCCTCCCCCACCACCCACATCTCGTCATGGAGCACCTCCTCCTCCCATAAAGAGTCCCAGCCAGAGGACAAGCACCCCTCCCCCAGGCCGCCAGGGCCCCCACTAGAGCACCAGCAATGTCACCGCCCGCGCCTCCCCCGGTACCCTCACCAGCTTCTTGGCCCCCGATGGGCAGTGCACCTCCACCCCCACCTCCACCCCTACAGGAGCCCCCCACCCCCCTCCACCACCACCACCACCCCCCACCGAAGCGATACGGATGCCCCTTCCCGGGCTGGCCCAGGGAATGCCCGTAGTGGCCTGTTGTCCCAGATCCACCAGGGTACTGCACTGAAGAAAGTGGATCCTAGTGAGAAAAGTGGTGGACCTTCAGATGCCCGGGGAAACCTCCTGAAGGCCATCCAGGGTGGGGCCAACCTCAAGAGGGTGAGTCTTGGGAATGGCAGCAATGCCAAATTGTGCAAAGGTTGCGAGACTGAGGGAGTAAATGTGGCTTTAAGCTGCGTCAGCAACTTCACATCTGTTTGTGGCTAAGGGTTGTGAGAAGTGAGCTTTCAATTTGAAATATTCTATGCGTCTGTCTGTCTGTCTGGAAGTCTTGTGTTGCAACAGCAACTAGAAGTAGAATGTATGTGTTTATTGTCTGTGTTCAGGTGGAGCAGACTGAAAAACAGGTCCAGAGTGATGATAGTGCGGGTCTTGTGTTGCTACAGCAACCAGACTGTATGTGTTTATTGTCTTGTGTCCAGGTGGAGCAGACTGAAAAACAGGTCCAGAGTGATGATAGTGCGGGTCTTGTGTTGCTATAGCAACCAGACTGTATGTGTTTATTGTCTTGTGTTCAGGTGGAGCAGACTGAAAAACAGGTCCAGAGTGATGATAGTGCGGGTCTTGTGTTGCTATAGCAACCAGACTGTATATGATTATTGTCTTGTGTCCAGGTGGAGCAGACTGAGAAACAGGTCCAGAGTGATGATAGTGCAGGTCTTGTGTTGCTATAGCAACCAGACTGTATATGATTATTGTCTTGTGTCCAGGTGGAGCAGACTGAGAAACAGGTCCAGAGTGATGATAGTGCAGGTCTTGTGTTGCTATAGCAACCAGACTGTATGTGATTATTGTCTTGTGTCCAGGTGGAGCAGACTGAGAAACAGGTCCAGAGTGATGATAGTGCAGGTCTTGTGTTGCTATAGCAACCAGACTGTATATGATTATTGTCTTGTGTCCAGGTGGAGCAGACTGAGAAACAGGTCCAGAGTGATGATAGTGCAGGTCTTGTGTTGCTATAGCAACCAGACTGTATATGATTATTGTCTTGTGTCCAGGTGGAGCAGACTGAGAAACAGGTCCAGAGTGATGATAGTGCAGGTCTTGTGTTGCTATAGCAACCAGACTGTATGTGATTATTGTCTTGTGTCCAGGTGGAGCAGACTGAGAAACAGGTCCAGAGTGATGATAGTGCAGGTCTTGTGTTGCTATAGCAACCAGACTGTATATGATTATTGTCTTGTGTCCAGGTGGAGCAGAATGAAAAACAGGTCCAGAGTGATGATAGTGCAGGTCTTGTGTTGCTATAGCAACCAGACTGTATGTGTTTATTGTCTTGTGTTCAGGTGGAGCAGACTGAAAAACAGGTCCAGAGTGATGATAGTGCGGGTCTTGTGTTGCTATAGCAACCAGACTGTATGTGATTATTGTCTTGTGTCCAGGTGGAGCAGACTGAGAAACAGGTCCAGAGTGATGATAGTGCAGGTCATGTGTTGCTATAGCAACCAGACTGTATATGATTATTGTCTTGTGTTCAGGTGGAGCAGACTGAAAAACAGGTCCAGAGTGATGATAGTGCGGGTCTTGTGTTGCTATAGCAACCAGACTGTATGTGATTATTGTCTTGTGTCCAGGTGGAGCAGAATGAAAAACAGGTCCAGAGTGATGATAGTGCGGGTCTTGTTGGAGCTTTGGCACGTGCCCTCGCCAACAGACAGAAACATATTCATGGATCAGGTAGGGTATACTGATGGTATACATCAACTCTTTATTTCTCTTGTTTCTTTATCGACCGCCTCAGTGGTGTAGTGGTTAGAGCGTCTGCCCAGAGAGCGGAAGGTCGTGGGTTCAATCCCCGACCGCATCATACCAAAAGACGTTAAAATATGGTACTTGTTGGTCCTGCCTTGCGTTCGACATTAATGGATACAACAAGGACTGGTCGGCTCGGAGTCAGTATAATGTGTCTGAGTGGGGTATTCATGCTTCACTGCGGCATGGTATCTCAGTGGGCTAGCACTATAAAACCAGCTTAAGTCTGGGCTAGTACAAGCAGCCGCACATACACACACACACACATGCACGTCGTCATATGAGCGAAATATTCTCAAGCACGACGTTAAATCCAATTTCACCTCACCTCACTTTGTTTCTTTATCTGATATGTTTTAAAGCAATACTCAGTCAACTTTTTAGTTTTTTCCACATAAGTATATTTAGTTTCCATGGAAATCGTCAAGAACAGTTTAACAAGGCTAGATTTAGTGCTTTGTTGCTTGCACTGATGCAACCAGGTCTTTATTGTAGGTTGCACCTGGTGCAAGGAGGTTAACATCTCTTAAATCGAACCCTGGTTTCAGTTACTTTGTCAGCCATTTTTTCCCCACATCAAGTGATGTGTTTGAGGCACAATTAGGGATTAGCTTTTCAGTGTCCTTTGCTTGCTGCTCAAAGCAATTTAATGGATTGAATGGACATACTTACTGCGAGATGCATAGGACAGAAGGTGTTAGCTGACCTGCCTGGCTCCAGTTTGACTCTGGAGGGGTAATTTGGTGACTGGCGTTGTATATATTACATTGAAGGAGTGTTCATGAAATAAGTTGTTACAAGACATTTCTCATTTGTTCTGAGAAACCACGATTGTTTTGTTAGTGCCAGACGCAATGTTAACTTAAAACAGTTCACAGTAAATCAGCTTCATATCATGATCTATTCTTTTTTCAGATGATGAAGATGACGATGACGACGATGACGATGAAGGTGATGACGATGAATGGGATGACTAAGTGATGTCACAGATGACATGGAGATTTGATATGAAGCTTTCATAAATATTTTTGCTTGTTTTGTTTTTTTTAATCTTGGTGATGGTGATATATACCCTCCTTGTAGATATGTATATATTCTCCATGAATGCATCTTGTATTGTAAAACATATTTTGAAATTATTTCCTGTCTTCGACTTTTAATGTCAGATTTGGTGTCTATATAATCAAAATTAAAGTGTTTTCAATTCATTTCTTGGTTGAATTTGGGCCAGTGTGACAGTGTTTTTATTTATGGTATTAATTGATATAGGAGTTTGATGAAATATGTTTGCTTGTTTGGAAATTGAGTAAATTCGCTTTAAGTTCGCTGAGTTTTTTCTTTCGTACAAGGTCAGTCATGTGAGGATCAGACAAGCCATTGATTATTTTGTCCTTCAGACTTAACAAAACACAAAAATAATACAGGGTAAATGCATATATTTTTCACGGTACCAGTAGCCATGGTAGCAGTAAGATGATCTTATGATGCAACACAACCAACACGAACAAAATTTTCTCTTGGGCAATTCAGTGGACTACGATGCTCTGTTTCATTTGTTTCAAAGGTCAGTATGTACTACCTATTATGTAAAAAAAGGGCCAGATTGTGATATTTAAGTGTTTGCAAGGTTAGTTTCATTGCTTTTTTGTTAATGTCTAATGCTTGTTATATCATGATTATGATCCCCACTAAGTGCAGTTCTCGAAGGAGACCAAGGTCCCAATCCACAAAGCGTTTGAAACGTTGCGACCAATCGTAAGTCTATACTTATCATAGGTTTATGAATGGCATAATGCTACAGACGTTTTGTGGATAGGCTCCCTGAGTTTTTGGGACATCATGCTTTATGTGATTTTTTTTAGTTCATATCCAAGTACAAACTGTTTTTGTTTCAAGAATATTTGCACAACTGATTGACCAAAAAGGTTTTTCAACATTTCACTTACTGTATTACTTACCCTTAGAGCAATAAACACATCAACGATTGAACTCATGTTTGACAAAGTTTTTCTTCTTGAAAGCCAACTGGATGTTTGTGGAAATTACCAGAAACCTTCCAAGGGCATTGGTGTTTAGAAGAGCCATCTCCAGCCACCTGGGTTGGTGGGATAGCCTAGTGGATAAAGCGTTCACTCGTTATGCCAAAGACGCGGGTTCAATTCTCCACATGGGTACAATGTGTGAAGCCCATTTCCATCGTAGTGATACTGGAAAAGCAGTGTAAAACTGAACTCGCAGACTTACTCCAGCCACCTGGTGGCAAGAGGTGGCAACATGAACAAGATAGTCTTGTTTAATTATTTGTCATCGGACCTCAGTGGTTTGATTGCTGTTCATATCATCAGGTCTGTCCTGTATGGCTGCTGTCATATTGCAGGAATTGATCTGGGGCGGTGGGGTAGCCTAATGGTTAAAGCCTTGGCTCGTCACGCCGAAGACCCGGGTTCGAATCCCCACATGGGCACAATGTGTGAAGCCCATTTCTGGTGTCCCCCGCCGTGATGTTGCTGGAATATTGCTAAAAGCGGCGTAAAACCAAACTCAGTCAGTCAGTCAGTCAGTCAGGAATTGATCTTCAGCAACCCATCATGTCGTAAAAGGCGACAAACGGGATCGGATGATGAGGCTCGCTGACTTGGTTGACACGTCATTGTATCTCAATTACGTAGATCGATTCTCATGCTCTTGATCACCGGCTTGTCTGGTCCAGACTCAAAATGTACAGACCGCTGCCATATAGCTGGAATATTGTTGAGTGCAAACACACAAATCATAGTCCTGGACTAGTGCTAGCGCAGATATCACACAACAAAACACTGGGCTGTAGTGGTGGTTCCGCCTATACTGTAGTGGGTTGGACAAACATAGTGTGTGTAATATCGGTCACTGGACATCCAGTCCACACTTACTTATTACCATCATTGATGTGCTGCAGCAGGCTTAAACACCATTGCATTGTGGGTAGTATTTATCCCAAGATCCCTTTGTGTTTGTAACTGTTTCGGCTCTCTTAGTACGTTCCATGGGGGGCGGTGGGGTAGCCTAATGGTTAAAGTGTTCGCTCGTCACGCTGAAGACCCGGGTTCGATTCCCCACATGGGCACAATGTGTGACTGACTGAGTTTTGGTTTTACGCCGCTTTTAGCAATATTCCAGCAACATCATGTCGGGGGACACCAGAAATGGGCTTCACACATTGTACCCATGTGGGGATTCGAACCCGGGTCCTCGGCGTGACGAGCCAACGCTTTAACCACTAGGCTACCCCACCGCCCCCACAATGTGTGAAGCCCATTTGTGGTGTCCCCCGCCGTGATATTGCTGGAATATTGCTAAAAGCGGCGTAAAACCATACTCACTCACTCACTCACTTGTACGTTCGATGACGGAACGGTGATGACTGTGGATGGATGAATTCCACCTCATTTATCCAGTGTGTTTGATCATCCATTCTCTCTATATATCCATTCAGTTGTAATATACGTCCACATCTTCATCTCTCTTATCACCAACCAGTACAGACTTTCTCCCACTCATGATGTCGACTAAAATGATTCATCTGAATGAAAATCTGATATGTACCTACATAAAAAATCACAGCCTCAAAAGACCGTTTTATGGACTTTTCTAAGGAAATGGGTGGGTGAGTGAGGTTTTACACTGTTTATAGCTATACTGAACAGCAAAAGAAACGCAAGTTTCGGAAAAATGAAATCTCATAAAGGTAAGCGTTCATGCTTATGGAACGTTCATGGTAAAGTGACGTAATGATTCCAGATGAGATGATGTCATGCAATAAGACGTCCATAAGGAAACATTTGCACAAACACACCAACAGCGCAGCAAAACCATAATTTTAGCACGACGGTTATGGATGAAAAGCATGCATTTCACTCTGAAGTATCCTTTATAAAGGTTTGTGTCAAAAAACAGTTCAGCATTGACGCTAGGAGGTGTACACGCCACACAAACGATGCCTAGACTAACGACTGAGCAGAGGGGAATGGCCATTGGAAAGTTACACGGAGGTAGCACTGCAACTGCTGTAGCTAGACAATTGGGCTGTCATCTTACCCCCATAACACGACTAGCTCAACGTCATCAGCAAAGCGGGTTGCTGCTGATAGTCCCAGTACCGGACGCAACGAGTGACCACTCATGCGCAAGATCGGTTCATCCGGGTCACTCATCTAAGGAACCGAACTCAAGCAGCAACAATAACAGCAGCCTTAGTTCTTGGGTCAAGAGGAGCAGTGCCAAGCGATACGATTAGGCATCGTCTTCGGGCTGCTGGAATCCACTGCCGAAGACCATATGTGGGGCCAATTTTGGCACGTCAACAACGCCAATGACGTTTGCAGCCCTCACATAGCAAGGGTGTCGATGGATTATCTGGCTCAGAACAACATTAACGTCTCTTTCTCCCCGGATATGGCTCCCATTGAACATTCTGGGACGAAAATGGACGGAGGATTGCTGCAGGTAGACAGCCACTAACACTTGCACAGTTGGAATAGAGATTGGTGTTTGAGCGAAACCAGTTGCCTCAGGCATTCTTTCAGACTCTAGTGAACTCAGTGAGGCCACATTGCACGGCCTGTGTGTAAGCTCAAGGTGGCTATAGGCGCTACTAAAGAGACTGTCACGTTTCGCGTTCAGGGGATCTCCATTTGACGGACTGTGATCAATTTGAACTTATTGCAATTCAATGTCAACAGCAACTTTCAGCCGTTACATTGACAGTGTTTTCTACAGAATAAATGATTAGATATAATTTGGGTTGTCTTCTATTAAAAAACTTGACAAAAAGCCAGACTTGCGTTTCTTTTGCTGTTAGTCTATATTCCAGCAACTTTATGACAGGAACTCAAAAAATGAGCTTCACACATTATACCCATGTGGGGAATCGAACCCAGGTCTTTGTTTTGACAAGCGAACACTTTAACCACTAAGTTATTCCACCCCCCTGAAAGATGGATGGGAGTGCATACAGATGAAAATCTTAATTTCCAAGAACCCTGAAAACTCAGGGGTCTGGAAGACTATTTAATTTATGCATATAAATAATGGTATGCATTTATATAAAAAGTTCTGTTGAATTTCACAGACCCACAGTAAAGTCACATCCATGGTTTCTTGTGCTGAATTGACTGATCTCGCTTGCTTCAGTGATTATCATAAAAACTGAAACATCACCAATGGGCTTCGCAAGCCCCCATGTAGGGAATCGAACCTGGGCCTTCAGCGTGACGAGCGGACGCTTTAACCACGAGGCTACCCCACCGCCCTGTCTCAACAGGAAATACCCATGATTATCATATTAATTGATGATTGTTTGTACAAGGTTATGACTGTGTCCCTTGCCGTCAGGAGTTTTGAGGTCTGGTTTTTGATTACAATCGATTATTGATTGATTACTGAGCTCCATTTATCGATCTGCATATTGTGAACAAGAACCATTACCACTGGTTTCAAACTGTATTCAAATCAGCACACTAGGCATTATATTACATACCGGTACATCAATATGACACATATTCCTTTAACACAGATCCATTCTGAAAACAGACACTCGTTTAGTTTCACAATTTATTAATTCAACAGAATTGATATTAAACCAGATTTTACAAATCTGTTTTGCCACAGTTGTATAAATACATTAAAAGAATGTACACGTGCTCTAGATATATTCATTACTGCTAATTATGAAAAACAAATGAGAAATGAGACATATCCAAATATATACAGAGTTCAAATTTCTCACTTTTCTAAAGACATTTTCAATTTAGATTCATTCTAGATTTTTTTCTGACATTTTCGTACAAATCTCAACTCACAAATAAAAATCCTTACTTGCACAAGACACACTTTTCAATACTTGCAAATACTACTTTGAAATGAGCTATTTTTGTACAATAAGCAGAGATGAAAAGCAATGAGGAAAGGTTCTAAGAACGGGAGAGAATGCCCTAAGATGGTGATGGAACAACCTACAAAACACATGGTTCTTCATCACCAAATCCTTGACTATTTTTCACTGAAATGTTGCAGCCAGTGATGATGTTGATGATATTGAAGATGATGCAGCTAGATGATGCAGGACAGTTCAGATCAGAGGTATTCAATTCATAATAATGCACCTCTGACTTCGATATCATTGACACTACTGGGTGAGTGAATGAGTGAGTGAGTTCAGTTTGAGGCTGCTTTTAGCAAAATTCCATCAATATCATGGCAAGGGACACAACAAATGGGCTTCACACATTGTACCTACATGGGAAATCAGACCCAAGTCTTTGGTGTGAAGGGGAACGCTCTATCCACTTCGCTACCACACAGCCCAATATTACTGAAAAGATTCTAAATATGAATTGCAACATCAATGAATCAACTGAAATCATGTAATAATAGTTTCTAAGTTGCTTCAGCAATTCGCCAAGGAGATTACACAAATGCAGAACACAGTGCAAACAAAGATAGCCATGTAATATATATGTATTTTCTGTCTTTACACAATGACTGAGTGAGTGAGTGAGTATGGTTTTATGCCGCTTTTAGCAATATTCCAGCAATATCATGGCAGTGAACACCAGATATGGGCTTCACACATTGTACCCATGTGGGGAATCGAACCCGGATCTTTGGTGTGACGAGCAAAAGGTTTAACCACTAGGCTACCCCACCGCCCCACAATGTCTGAGACCAACATCACCTCAAGTTCCACTCATGGGATCTATATTTAGCTTTCATTTCTTGACACTTCCATCTTTCTGAATGTTCAGAAGAATGTGTTATAACCAAGCATAAGGAACATCTCATCTTGTTTTGTAGGTGTTGTTGGTATACTTTAGAAAATATTTGGTTTCACTTTCACTCGGGTTCTCACACATGCTGGATGTCCTGAATATTTTTAAGAAAATAAGCAAATAATAATTGTTCACATAACCCATGTTTTGAAATGAAAAATTTCCTGTCTCAAAAACCCAGCACCCAAACCCCCCAAGCATAATATGGTGGGTTCTAAATGCATATTGATAACTAGGCAATGTTTCAACCATGTCCAATTGCATTTTCATTTGTCTACCAGAAATGACTCTAGTTCTCAAACCTATTTCAGGAAATATATCAAATTATGATTGTCTAAACTGATTAATGGTTCTTCAATCTCTCGACTGACTATTAAGACACAACAGCCATTGTCCATCAGGTAAACACCCAATGGCAGTAGAAGCTAAGTACAGTAGGTGGAGCAACTCAAAATGGCTGTAAGAGCAGCGTCTATAGTGCTGGTAAGAAATTCAGGAATATATTTACATGATGACACAAACACACAATCATTCTTTAGATAATATAATACGTTCACAGCTAAAGTATCCATAAATGAATCAAGAAATCTTGACTGAGTTGGGTTTAGTTTATTTCTCTTTCTCTGAGAAATGATAAGGAAAAACATTTACACTGTGAGGCAATCCTGTAGTGAAACATATCTTCATAGTGAGTAGCTGTTAGGAAATTTTATCTTTCTAGTGAGTATTTTATGTAACTAATCCTATCTCCCCTAATGAGCATCTTTTATTTACTAATAATATATTTTATCTAACTAGAGAGTGGCTTTTATGTAACTAAACATATCTCCTTAGTAAGTAACTTTCATGCAACTAATATTATCTCTCATGTGAGTAGGTTTTAAGTTACTAAACATATCTCACTAGTGAGTAGGATTGTTTACATTAAATGTATTCACTTCGATATGCCCTACAGAAACAATGGACTTGAATTAAGTGGATGTTTTAAATGTTTTATGCACGACAGGATCATATTTTCAGGGGAACATTTTTTTTCTGCATTTATACACGATATCAACAGGATATCAGTCTCATGTATGATACCCTAAACAATTCTATCTACAATCATATATACTTACAGTAGACAACTAAACAAACAAAACAAACGCATGCTAATATTTTTGAACTAAGTACACAGAAATATAATTTCAACAAGTCTGTAACTAACAACTGAAATTCACTTCCATGGAATGCAGGATATGTTTCTCAACTAAAGTATCCCTGTAAACAAGTGAGTGAGTTGGTAAGGTTTAATGCCACTTTGAACAGCATCCTTGTCTTAAAATGGCTAGTCTGGAGTGAGTGAGTTGGTAAGGTTTAATGCCACTTTGAGTGAGTAAGTATGGTTAACGCCGCTTTTAGCAATATTTCAGCAATATCACGGCGGGGGGCACCAGAAGTGGGCTTCACACATTGTACCCATGTAGGGAATCGGCATGACAAGTGAATGCATTAACCACTAGACTACCCTACCGCCCCTAGTCTGGAGTGTTGTGTAGGGGACTGGAAGTACGACCTGAGATGCTAGCATTGCCGTGTCAAACTTTCTCAGCTGATACACCACAACTCTGCTGTTTCAGGTGCATAAAAAAATAATATTGGCTAACTAGAATATGTCCTTAATATTCCTATACTACTCAACCGAGTCAGAGAACAACCTATTCTTTCAGTTTATTGTCATACCACAGCAGGTCAACTATAGCCATAGGACATAATTCCTGTCATGGTACAACAGATTTACTGCACAAACATGAAAGAATCATGTGTTTATTTTTTTGCTACAATGTTGTTTTTCAATGACTTAATATACATACCTACAAGGAATTAACAGGTCTAAAAAATACACCCAATAACCATTGATGGCAATGAAGTCTGTTGACAATGGAATATTCCTGTATAAGTTGTTTTGCAATCGCTGTTCAGAATAAATCATTTAACCATTGCTGTACTCAAATTTATCAACTTAAAGGGAGACAACCCTTCACCCTGGATAGCTGTGTGCTGACATTTATTGCAACGTTTGGCTATTCTGATGAAGGCTATGTTGTAATTATGGTAACTGGAGAAGTCTCCCTTTAAGATAAGTCTGTACTGTAACTGAGGTTATAGGGGGAGGTCTTCCTTTAGGACAAGTCTGTACTGTGAGTGAGGACTCCCTTATAGACACATCTGTACTGTAACTGGGGTTCTGAAGCCTCGGCAGAATGTGGGAAAATATCTCTTTAAAAAGTGTACATATTGTTCTAAGTCAAAGTATTGTGAACAATGTATAAAATATCCCTGTAATATGTAGCCATAGTGTAACTGAGGCTATAAGGTCAGGCCAGAATGCAGGGAAGTCTCCCTTTAATAAGTATCCATACTGTAACTGAGGCTATAAGGTCAGGCCAGAATGCAGGGAAGTCTCCCTCTAATAAGTATCCATACTGTAACTGAGGCTATAAGGTCAGGCCAGAATGCAGGGAAATCTCCCTTTAATAAGTATCCATACTGTAACTGAAGCTATAAGCTTAAGGTCTGGGCAGAATGCAGGGAAATCTCCCTTTAATAAGTATCCATACTGTAACTGAGGCTATAAGGTCGGGCCAGAATGCAGGGAAGTCTCCCTTTAATAAGTATCCATACTGTAACTGAGGCTATAAGGTCGGGCCAGAATGCAGGGAAGTCTCCCTTTAATAAGTATCCATACTGTAACTGAGGCTATAAGGTCGGGCCAGAATGCAGGGAAGTCTCCCTTTAATAAGTATCCATACTGTAACTGAGGCTATAAGGTCAGGCCAGAATGCAGGGAAGTCTCCCTCTAATAAGTATCCATACTGTAACTGAGGCTATAAGGTCAGGCCAGAATGCAGGGAAATCTCCCTTTAATAAGTATCCATACTGTAACTGAAGCTATAAGCTTAAGGTCTGGGCAGAATGCAGGGAAATCTCCCTTTAATAAGTATCCATACTGTAACTGAGGCTATAAGGTCGGGCCAGAATGCAGGTCTCCCTTTAATAAGTATCCATACTGTAACTGAGGCTATAAGGTCGGGCCAGAATGCAGGGAAGTCTCCCTTTAATAAGTATCCATACTGTAACTGAGGCTATAAGGTCAGGCCAGAATGCAGGGAAGTCTCCCTTTAATAAGTATCCATACTGTAACTGAGGCTATAAGCTTAAGGTCTGGGCAGAATGCAGGGAAGTCTCCCTTTAATATGTAGCCATACTGTAACTGAGGCTATAAGGTCTGGCCAGAATGCAGGGAAGTCTCCCTTTAATAAGTATCCATACTGTAACTGAGGCTATAAGGTCTTGGCAGAATGCAGGGAAGTCTCCCTTTAAGACTAGGTTATAACTGAGGTTATAAAGTAAACATCTGCATCCCTGATATAACAAAGTAGTCAAACATCCATCAGTACTGGATTCAGCACATCCATGCAGCATGTTGGATACAGAAACATAATATCTTACATCAGTATTTACACTGCTTCGTTCCACACAACACTAACAACAACCCTGAACTTCCACACACAAATATCTACACATTGCAGACACCTAGTAACACAAACACTTATTATTGAATGCAGTCTCTAACACTGTTACCCTGTAATTGTAACACCTTGTAATGTAGACTCTTCATTATACAGGCAGTGTCGAACGCTTGTAATACAGACACCTTGTAATACAGACAACTCGCAATGAAGACACCCCATAATACAGGCAGCCTGTAACACTGATAACCTGTAATGGTGACACCTTGTAATGTGGACTCTTCATTAATTATACAGGCAGTGTCAAACACTGGCATGTTATACAGACCACTTATAATATAATTGGCCTGTAAAACAGGCACCTTGTAAAACAGACATTTTGTGATACAGGCAACTCGTAATGAGAATACCTCAAAATACGGACAGCCTGTAAAACAGGCACCTTGTAATACAGACATTTTGTGATACTGACTGACTGAGTGACTGAGTTTGGTTTTACGCCGCTTTTAGCAATATTCCAGCAACATCACGGCGGGGGACACCAGAAATGGGCTTCACACATTGTACCCATGTGGGGATTCAAACCCGGGTCTTCGGCGTGACGAGCCAACGCTTTAACCACTAGGCTACCCCACCGCCCCCATTTTGTGATACAGGCAACTTGTAATGAGAACACCTCAAAATACAGACAGACAGTAAAACAGGCACCTTGTAATACAGACATTTTGTGATACAGGCAACTCGTAGTGAAAACATCTCAAAATACAGACAGCCTGTAAAACAGGCACCTTGTAATATAGACATTTTGTGATACAGGCAACTCGTAGTGAGAACACCTCAAAATACAGACAGACTGTAAAAGAGGAACCTTGTAATACAGACAATTTGTGATACAGGCAACTTGTAATGAATACACTTCATAATACAGGCAACTTATTAAAACAAGTCATTTGAAGTACAACACCTATCAAAGTGGATCCATAACATTTGGAAATAATGAAGTACAACACCTATCAAAGTGGATCCATAACATTTGGAAATAAAGTTTTTGGAAATATTCAATGTGAAAGCAAAGTCCCGGCAACGGCAGTATTGAGTGGAAGCCCCAGTAGAGACTTTACAAGATGAAAGCCATGACCTTGACCTGATGGTGGCGAAACAACCAGAGAGAATACGAAACATGTTTTGTTTGTTTAATTGCCAGTACTTTCGATCGCTTTCTGATATTTGTGTGTGGAAGGCAAGGGCAACTTTCATGAACAGGTTGACAACTCAGTGATTATGATTTACAGGTGACTTAAATAACATACAACAACTTGTAGCCCTTGTTAAGCAACTTGGAGGAAGTCTTTTAGCAAGGTCAGCCGCCTCTTCTCCGCGATATCCATCTGGTTTTCTAGGTCCTGTAACCAAAAATATCTCATCACGTCCTTTTAAATGACAGTGAGCTGGGTTGGGCTGGGATAGGTTGAAAGCTTGTATGTACTGTATTCAAGTTATATCATAAATTTACTGAACAAAAAAGTTCATGAATATTTTCGAAGCTGTTTCTTTTTGTGTAGTGAAGATGGAGCACAAAATTTCACAGAAATATGAAACAAATGTCATGGTCCCTGTTTAGTATATAAAGGCAGTTTTGTATCTACAGATTGAATAAGACTGATAACAGGTGAATCATTGACTTGTTTGTATGTTGTTTAATGCCGACTAAGCAATATTCCAGCTATATGGCAGCAGTCTGTAAATAATCGAGTCTGGATCAGACAATATTGTGATCAACAGCATGACCATCGATCTACATAATTGAGATACATTGACATGTGTCAACCGAGTTAGAAAAACTCCCCTATATATGTACTGGGTCACCTCTCATCTATCTGTACTGGGTTATCTCCCCTATATCTGCACTGGGTCACCTATCCCTCTATCTGTACTGGGTTATCTCCCCCATATATGTAAAGGATCACCTCTCCTCTCTCTGTACTGGATCACCTCCCCTATATCTGTACTGGGTCACCTCCCTTTATCTGTACTGGGTTATCTCCCCTATATCTGCACTGGGTCACCTATCCCTCTATCTGTACTGGGTTATCTCCCCCATATATATAAAGGATCACCTCCCCTCTCTCTGTACTGGATCACCTCCCTTATATCTGTACTGGGTCACCTCCCTTTATCTGTACTGGGTTATCTCCCCTCTATCTGTTCTGGATCACCTCCCTTTATCTGTACTGGGTTATCTCCCCTCTATCTGTTCTGGATCACCTCCCATCTATCTGTACTGGGTTATCTCCCCTCTATCTGTTCTGGATCACCTCCCTTTATCTGTACTGGGTTATCTCCCCTCTATCTGTTCTGGATCACCTCCCATCTATCTGTACTGGATCACCTCCCTTTATCTGTACTGGGTTATCTCCCCTCTATCTGTTCTGGATCACCTCCCATCTATCTGTACTGGATCACCTCCCCTATCTGTTCTGGGTCACCTCCCTTTATCTGTACTGGGTTATCTCCCCTCTATCTGTTCTGGATCACCTCCCATCTATCTGTACTGGATCACCTCCCATCTATCTGTTCTGGGTCACCTCCCTTTGTCTGTACTGGGTTATCTCCCCTCTATCTGTTCTGGATCACCTCCCATCTATCTCTACTGGATCACCTCCCATCTATCTCTACTGGGTTATCTCCCCTACATCTGTACTGGGTCACCTACCCCTCTATCTGTAATCTCAGCTCTCTCCACCTTCCAGGACAGATTTTCCACCTCCGCCTCCAGCTGTGCCTGCTGGTACTCAAACTGAAGGAGAGATACACAACATTACACACATACATAGCAGTACATCATGCATCTTTTCATACATACTTTGTTATGGAGATACAAACTATCTCCATTTTGATTACTTCAGTGTTATAACATAAATATTTGTGTTACAAGTATAAATTGAACACAACAAGTTTCTTCACAAAGTCCTTGTTTGTACAAATCATCTTACCAGCTGCTTACGACCTCCCTTGTCCATGTAGTATGCGTAGGGGTATGTGTACTGCAGGGTGTATCGACACTGGAAGGCAAACAACAAGATCAGGCACCTGTTACTGGGGGAGGGGGACAGATGTTTCCAGTCCATCAAAGCGCAATAAAGTGTGAAGAAATGAGCCTGGTTTTAGCCCTATCAAACTGACTTGACATAACTGGTGGGATGGGTAAGCATATGAGGGGTATTAACCCCTGACCTTTAATTAAATTAAATCATGACAGTATTGTGCCCCATTTTAGCTTCCGATAGTACACAATAACACTCACATGGACTGCTATAAATAATAAGCTTGAACACAAGTTTAACCATAATCATTTGTCCCAAGATAATCAAAAATATTTCTCATCTAAAACTCTCTATTATAATTGTGACCCTTCCTGAAGCTTGTATCTATGTTCAGTTGCTGCTTAGTGTTGCACTTGGTGATACTGCAGCTGTATGATCGTGGTCTTTAATAACATCAGTCTGGGCCAGATGATCCAATGATTGACATCATGAGCATCAATCAAGTCAGTGAGTCTGACCACCTGATAACTTTGGTTGCCTCTTACAGCAAGCATGGACTGCTGAAGGCTCAGATTTTCATGGTGTACATTGGTTGAATCTTGCAACTGTATAACCAGGGGTGGAAATAACCCATTGCCCGACGTCCGAGTCCAGTGTTTTTTTCTGTCGGGCAAGCAAATTTGTACATCACACTGTACCGGTGTCCAGTTGACTTTCCAATGTTAATAATGTTTTTTATTTAAAAAATCAACAAGAAAACAGCCGGTATAGTGGAAAACTTATCAGGGCAAGTGATTTTACATGTGATACTGTACCGGAGTACACTAGCAATTTTAAAGTTATTTCCATCCCTGATAACTGCTATGTGTTTAGGACTGACCTTCTTGAGCAGTGTGGCTGCATCCAGGAGGTACTGCCAGTCTATCCAGGTGCCTTCATTCGTCATCACCTTGTCCTGGATCCGGGATCGGATCTTCATCAACGTCTGCTCCTCCAGCTTCAGACTCTTGGCATGATTCTCCCACTGTGGACATAGTAAGTGAGTTTAACTTTCAGCAATATTCCAGAAAATATCACCGAAGGGGACACCAGAAAAGGGCTTAACATATTGTACCCATTTGGGGAATCTAACCCGGATCTTGGCTGCGAAAAGCGAAAAGCTTTAACCACTAGGCTACCCCACCGCCCCCACTGTGGACATGAAAACAAAGTAACAACATAGCACTGTAGACACTTTAGCCCTTAGTGCCTGATACAGAGCATGATCCTCAGATGGACAGTAACTGCACTACCAGGACTTGTCCACAGGTAGCAAACTTGTGTTGACAGGTTTAACTTTCTTATTTTGGTTTTCACAGAACCAGCCCAGTCAGTCATGTTCAAACTATTTCATGTAAACAGTGAAATAAAAAATGTCAAATTCAGTGACAAACAAAATCACAAATTTTGACAGCACTTTTGGCATCTCCTCTGAGAGTGAACACAAAATCAGGGTCCTGTTTGCCAAAGAGTTGAACATATATGTTGTACTTATCAATGGCATGATGTGTTCATACAAGAAGCAGGCAGACAAAAAGCATGTCGTGTCAATGATGACAGGTACTCACCCTCTCATAGTAGAAGAGGTATTTCTTCAGAGCCTCCCGAGCCTGCACCAGCACGGACTCGTTGGCGATGTTGGGGTTCTCCTTGTAGCGACTGCACTCGTAGTACTCACTCCCATGGGCCTTCCAGTCTACAGGGATAGAGATACGGTATTGTGGGAGGAGACACACTAGCGGTGACATGTTGCAGTGTAACATGGGAACTTGACACAGTAGACTGAGAGACTGCTAACCTGTGTCAGCAGGGGAATCAACAAAAGCTATAGGTCTGATGCTACGTAGCACAGTGAATCACTCCTCAACAAGTCCTGCACTATGAGCTCAAAAGTGTGTGAGGTGTTTATTGCCATGCTCTAATATTCCAGCTACAAGCGGTACATAACTGAGTCTTGAATGATATTGTGAGCAAGGATCTGTACCATCAAAGTACCATTACATGTACCATCAAAGTATCATTACATGTATCATCGAAGTATCATTACATGTACCAAGTATCATTACATGTACCATCAAAGTACCAGTACCATCAAAAGTACATGTACCATGTACCACCAAAGTACCATTACATGTACCATCGGTACCAGTACCATGTACCATCAAAGTACCATTACATGTACCATCAAAGTACCATACCAAAGTATCATTACATGTACCATACGAGTATCATTACATGTACCATCAAGCATAATTACATGTACCATCAAAGTACCATTACATGTACCATCGAGTATCATTAAGTACCACTACATTACATGTACCATCGTAGTATCATTACATGTACCATCATTACAGTACCATTACATTACATGTACCATCAAAGTATCATTACAAAAGTACCATTACATGTACCATCAATTACCAAGTATCATTACATGTACCATTACATGTACCATCGAAGTGCCATTACATACCATCAAAGTATCATTACATGTACCACATTACATTGTACCATCAGTACCATCATCATTACATGTACCATCAAAGTATCATTACATGTACCATCAAGTACCATCGAGTACCATTACAAGAACCATCAAAGTACCATTACCATGTACCACTACATGTACCATCAAAGTATCATTACATGTATCATCGAAGTATCATTACATGTACCATCGAGGTATCATCACATGTACCATCGAGGTATCGTTACATGTACCATTGAAGTACTGTTACATGTACCATCGAAGTACTGTTACATGTACCATCGAAGTATCATTACATATACTCAACCAAGTCAACAAGCCTGACTGTCTGATCAATGTAGACAATTCAATGACCAGCATGTTTGCTGGGGATCTTCATCTGTCACAGCAATCCCCACAGCAATGTTTAAACAGATACCAATATGATTGCCATGCAACTCACCTCCAAGACACATCCAGCAGAAGTCATACTTGCATTTGGAACATTGCTGAAAATGGATGACAAGAGATATAGCAAAGGTGAAGAGTTGTGACCCTTTGTGGAACAACACCCAGGATTAATCTTGCTAAGTCATTACTAGGATGAAATATCTCCCTGAAAAGATCACTGTGTTCGCATTTCGGCAGGGGTTGCATTTCTAACACTAGGACTTGCACAGTCAGGCTTTCTTATAACATTACTTGTCAGTTTTTTCTGATGTTCAAAATTTTCTTACAGGTATGGAGTTTTCATTAGGATCTAGAAAGCGTATGTCATGGGCTTCCCTAACCTAAGAGCCGGTGAACCATGACAAACTTACCATATGGTTGCAGCCTCCATTTTTCTCTATGCATACATGGCACTTTGGACACTGTGAACAACAATAAGTTGCAGCAATAGATGTAATGTATCATGTGACTGTATAATATATTCATCACTAAACAGCAGAAATAATGCTGTTGCGATTTTACATTTTATATCACTCATCTACTGTAAAATATTCCCAATTTCAAGATGAAAAAGAAAATATATGTACACGAGGAAAATACTGTTGGACATTGCATTTTTACTAATATTTTCTAGGAGAGAAGTTATTTCACAAAAATACAGCAGCGCAGTCAAATCAGAACAGCATGAGGTAATGGGGACTATATGAACCTAGAATCTCCGCTGGGAGACAAGCACGGTTACTTACTGCTTTTTTGGTACATCGGTCATTAATGGTACTTACTTACATCTTTTGTGTGGGCGCTGATGTAGTTGGCTGTCTCGGAGTCATCGGCACACTTGGTGAGCCAGCGCTTGATTGTTTCACAGTCGGTGGGAGCATGGTACTCGTTACCACAGCGGAAACTGAAGCCAAACACATTTATCATCATCCAGTTCATCTGGTATGGTGTTTAGACTGTGCATAGACTGCCATTTTTACTACTCAATGCTGAGTTGGGTTAAACGCCACTTTGAACTAAATTTCAGCTATATCTTGGCATACCAAATTGAGTGAGCGAGTGAGTTTAGTTTTACGCCACTTTTAGCAATATTCCAGCAATATCTCAGTGGGGGACACCAGACATGGGCTTCACACATTGTACCCATTTGGGGAATCGAACCCAGGTCTTCAGCATGACAAGTGAACGCTTTAACCACTAGGCTACCCCACCGCCCCCATGCCAAATCGATGTGGGAGGAAACCCAATGTGATGCAGGTTTCATATGTTTATCACTTTTCTGAAATCCACAAGCATTGATTTGTGTTGACACACCAAGACACTTAATCAGGCACAACAGGATTCAAACCCATGATCATTGATCTTTCCTATCTATATCAGTATCAATCTGCAGATCCTGGTAGAACCAAGAGATGCAACTCTGCACAGCGAATTCTGGAGCCATATACTTCAGGACACATCACAGACAGCAATGACAATGGTGTGACATGTGCTCCTTCACTCACCAGAAGGAGCTGTTACACTGGGAACACAGGACCTTCTTAGCTAGGGCCTCCTTAGCCCGAACAATCACTGAACAATTAGCACCAGAAGGGCAGAACCTCAGGACCTTCTTAGCTAGGGTGGTTCAATGCCGAACAATTAGCACCTGGGCAGAACCTCAATTGCGGGTGGGTAATTACAGGTAAATGCTAACGGGCATGATACTGATGAACTTGAAAATGTAGGGTTGATCCATGTAGTGTAAGATATTGGAAAAATATTAGATTAATGATATTTCAGCATTTCATTTTTTAATATTCATACTTTGTGTCGGTTTAGAAGAAATTTTCTAAGTATAGTAACTGTATTTGTACCACACTTTATGTTGGGAAAAGTACAGAACTGGAAATGTATGTAAATTCTTCTGTCAACATCAAGATCATTACATACACATGGAGATTTGCATGCTGCCATCATGCAGCTAAATATTCAACAACAAACTAGCAAAGATGGAGAGTAAGATATGAAGAGAAATGCTTGAGGAGGGTTCACCGATCAAGAGTGATTGAGTGAGTCAAGTTTTATGATGCTTTTAGCAATATTAAATCAACATCATGGCGGGTGACACCAGAAATGGGCTTCAGGCACTGTACCCATGTACGGACTCGAACCAGGGTCTTTGCCGTGACTAGCGAACGCTATAAGCACAAGGCAACACAGCCCCAAAGCAACAAAGAGGACAAGGTAGACATTCACATCTGATTGCACTAATACACCTGACGATGATGAAATAAAGCTCATATTACAACCTATCACACACATACTCAGAGATAAACTGAACAGCATGCCACAAGCACCAGTGCAACTCACCTTGACGAGATCATTGAAGGAGAGCATGGAATATTTGTCCCTGAGAGTTGTATCACTGAGTATACTGCACAGAAAGTCTTCGGGGACCAGCACAGGGCAGTCCTTGCCCATACACTCGATACCTGCAACGTACATATGAATACATAAACAGACCTCAGGACATAAACAACAAGCATTGTCACTAAGGTGACATAATCCCCAGCCGCAAATTATCAAATCAAACTTAAAAAGTACTGAAAGTTTAAGATGAAGTTAAATGTCAACAAAAACACGACCAGTCAACCTCTCTTGATATCTTGCTCTTTAGTTGTTCAAACACACAAATATTTTCAAGACTTACTTTGACCGGGACATGGATGTCATAGTGTATGAAATATGCAAAAATGGTCCTAAAGAAATTGCTTATTGAAAAAACATTCAAGAGAAGTCTTGAAAGGCTATGAAGAAAATCCAGTGAATTCAGGTAAACATGCTAAAATATTCAAAGTGTCTTTGTGACCTTGAAAATTAAGTGAAGGTCACCAAAATCGACTGGGCCTTGCACTTTCCCGAGATGAAGCTTGGTGTCAAATTTGAAGAAAGTCCAGTCAATGGTTCTTGAGATATCTCACTGACCATCTTAACAATAACATGCAGGTTAACATACTGAAATTTTCAAAATGTCGCTGTGACCTTGAAATTTAAGTGAAGGTCACTAAAATCGACTGGGCCCTGTGCCTTCCCTGGATGAAGCTTGATGTCAAGTATGAAGAAAATCCGGTAAATGGTTCTTAAGGTATCTTGCTGACAAGCATAACATGCAGGTTAATGTGCTGAAATCTTCAAAGTGTCGCCATTGACCTTGGAAATTACGTGAAGGTCACCAAAATCGACTGAGCCCTGCGCCTTCCCTAGATAAAGCGTGGTGTTGAATATGAAGAAAATCTTGTTAACAGTTCTTGACATATCTGATGACAAGCGTAAAACGTTAAAGTCCCCTTGTGACCTTAAAATGAAGGTCAAGGTCACCAAACCTGACTGGGACCTTTCTTATTCTGTGATGAACCTAGGTACCAAATATGAAAAGAATCTAGTTAATGGTTCTTAAGATATTCCTATTCGTACAGACGGACGGATGGAGCCTAATACTATATCCCCCGCTTCGCGTTAAACGCGCGGTGGGGGATAACAAATATATATATGCCTCATACTATTGAAATATCTGTGTATATAAGGGAAAGATTGGTGTTTATCACTGCCTGTGAAGTGGCCACTACCCTAATCAGACCTCAATAAAAGCATAACTTCCAAATTTGACATATTTAAGTCAGCGAATCCTGGCATGACAAAGGGACGCAACTCTGCACTAGTTGATTGTGAATTCTTTGCCCAGGACCTGACCTGTACCTCACACTGAACTTGTTTCATCTGGACTTGGTGTGTACTCTATAGTGACTTCCTATTTTATCCGGACTTGGTGTGTACTCACCTATGGTGACTCCCTGATTCATCTGGACTTGGTGTGTACTCACCTATAGTGACTTCCTGTTTTATCCGGACTTGGTGTGTACTCACCTATGTTGACTCCCTGTTTTATCTGGACTTGGTGTGTACTCACCTAGAGTGACTTCCTGTTTTATCTGGACTTGGTGTGTACTCACCTATAGTGACTCCCTGTTTCATCTGGACTTGGTGTGTACTCACCTATAGTGACTCCGTGTTTTATTGGGACTTGGAGGTGTGTACTCACCTATAGTGACTCCGTGTTTTATTGGGACTTGGAGGTGTGTACTCACCTATAGTGACTCCCTGTTTTATCTGGATTTGGAAATGCATGTCCCAGCAATCAGCACAGAAGGCATGGCCACAGTTGAGGGCGTGGAAGTTCTCCCTTGGACTAGGACACACACACACACGACAGACATGGGAGCTGCCTGACATCATCTCCTGAAAGAATCAGCAAAAAAAGGGACGTCAAACTGATATACTATATACCTGACAACTTATAATGGGATGCTACTGTCTGTCTGACATGGAAGCTACCATACATCATATCCTGAAAGAATCGGCAAATAACAGCCATGAAACTGTAATACTATATACCTGACAACCTATAATGGGATGGTATTGTATATCTGACAGGATCTCCTGAAAAAATCGCCAAATAAGGGACGCAAAATTACCATACTATATACCTGACAACTTATAATGGGATGGTACCATATGTCTGACATGGGAGCTGAGTGACATTGTCTCCTGAAAGAATTGGCAAATAAAGCACAGGAAATTGATATATCATTTACCTGACAACTTATAAAGGGATGGTACCAGCTGTCTGACAACCAATAGTGACATACAGCATATAGAGATGAGGTAAATATTTTATGTAAAAGATAAAAGCATTATCTGTTTGCATAGTGACAACCAAGATCACAGACTCAAGAGGTAAATTCCAGTAGCAGCATTAATGTTCTTCTCATGTAACTATTGTAACAATACAGATCACCATGGATACTCACATCATATTTTTTAGAGCTCCTGATTTTGCAGTCGACAAGAAGTTGAGCAGGATCCTTTTGATGTCTAGAAACAGAAACAGAATTATTTTAACAATAGTACGTTACCATGACAACCAGTTACCGAAGTATTTCTCCCAGTGAATTTGGGTGCCTGGAGTGGGTCTATAAATAATGTCACTTCAGCAGCTTTTTTGTCTGAAGTATCACCATGACATCAGGAAAACATGACTTCAGATAGAAAATCGACATCTCAGAATGTTAATATAAATATCTGCAGCCGTATGTAAGTGAAGGTGTGACATCATGTAATGAAATTACGAAATTGTGGTGCCTTGGATTACCAGGTTTCAAGTGAAGCAACCATGACAACATTTGAGGTATAGCATGGAGGTCAGATGCGTCAGACGTGTGTCGTATGTTATGTATCGCAATACAGCGGTTGTATATCGCTGCATTGTCGTGGACCTGCTATCGCTACACCATTACACTACCAGTGAAAGTTCACCTACCTGTCTAGGATGTACTCTCTCCTCCAGTCGTGGGTTAGTAGCAGCATTTTGGCAAGAGATGGAGTAATCTGAAGAAGAACATTAATTAAAATAGTTTCCAATTTGGCTATATGGGTCGCCATGAACCATGCTAACACATCTCACAGGCCATTAGGTTTGAGTGAGTGAGTGAGTTTAGTTTTACACCGCTTTTAGCAATATTCCAGCAACATCACGGCGGGGGACACCAGAAATGGGCTTCACACATTGTACCCATGTGGGGAAACAAACCCGGGTCTTCAGCGAGACGAGCGAACGCTTTAACCACTAGGCTACCCCGCCAGCCCCATTAAGCTTGGTGATATCTCACTAGGCTTGCACTGTTTTACCTGTATTCTATAATACTCTTTTAATACTAAATGTATTCAATATCTTAATTGAGAAGCGATACATTAAACGTACAATTTCTTTATTACAGTGGGAGCAATGTTTCAGTGCAGGTTCTAACACCGTTATCAAACAAATGAAGAACTGTAAGGATTGAGAGACAAAAGGAATTAGGACTGCAATGGCATGGGGAAGCCATAATCATCTAAAGTTAACACAAATTTAAGAAACCAACAGACACTGAGCTGGAGATTAACCCATATTTCAGTCATATCATGGTCAACAACTTCATGTGTGAGATATATCCAACATGCTACATGCTAAAACATGTTATTATGCAAGCATATTTTTCCAGCTTACTGACTGGTCTAGAGGCGGTCACGTGACCGTTGACAGAAAAGCATATTGACCCCAACCCAGGTCCCGAACAAAAGTCATATTGACCTGAGTTACTATGACGTCATTCTATTGTTTACATGTCACAGTATTGTTGACTTAATGTTATTGGTTTGTAGTGAAAATAAACTTACTTTTCTTGACTAAATGGACATGTTTTGGATTTTAGAAGCTTTTTTTCGGTAATTACATAATAAAACAATTATAGACTAGCGAATTCGGTCAATACCTGTTTTTATGGACCCGCGAAAAGGCAATAATGACCGAGGACAAAGTCCGAGGTCAGTATTGCTTTCCGCAATATATTATTATTTTATTTTATGCCTTTGCCAGCAATATTCCCAGTGTAATCGCAACCTGCAAATAATCAAATCTGCACAAGACACTTAGATTTTTCACTAAAGACCAGGAGTGTGGAGTGGAGTGGAGTGGAGTGGAGTGGAGTGGAGTGGAGTGGAGCGGAGTGGAGTGGAGCGGGAGGGAGCGAGCGAGAGAGCGTTTTATTAATATTCCATCATTCCAGCAATATGATGGCAGGGGACACCAGACATGGTCTTGGGAATTGAAGTACAGTGACTACTTCACCATGTAGGTTCTTCATTTTCCAACTGAGTTTACCTTTAAAGGGGTACAAAGTGCTTCTATTTCCTCGTTCAGTAGCCTATCCACATCTTCCATCTGGAGCAGCTCGTACTCGAAGTACTCAGGGTCATCACATTTCTTTGGCTTCTCAAGGTCAAGGTCATCTGTTTCATTGTAGTAATCATGGAGATCCTGATACTCATCATCATCATCATCATCCATGCCGTCAGACTGGTCACTGTAGTCGGACTCCTCAGAATTCTGGCTCTTCATGTCTGTCGACATTGTGTCTGGATTTAGATCACTTTTCTGAAAAAGATGATTTCGTAAAACCAGTACAACACACAGAAATCTTCCATGATCATGTCAGACAAAAATATGCGTCCTTAAACATGCATTACTAACAATTTTGATCCTGATAGCTTTCCCTAATTTCAAATCAATGGGGCATGAGACACAACTTGAACGTTTGTTGTTCCATGCCACACTCAGCAATAGTCAGAAATATGTCGATGGTATGTAAATAATCGAGTCTGGACCAGACAAGTCAGTGATCAACAGCATGAGCATCAATCTACGCAGTTGGGATACAATGACATGTGTTAACCAAGTCAGTGAGTCTAGCAACACGATTCCGTAAGTCGCCTCATATAACAAGCATGGGTTGCTGAAGACCAATTCTAACTGGATCTTCATGAATCGAGTTACTTGAGTTACAAGATATACAAATCATGATACTTGATTTGTGTTGGGATTGTGATTATCATGGTTATATACTACTCAACATAAGTTAGGGAACACTCAATTCTGTCCTATCACTATATGAAGAGTTAGTTAGCTTAGTTTGAGTAGTATAGTCTAACATTGAATGTTCATTATAACAAATGAAACATCTGCTACATGGTGATACAAGTATAGTATTATAAAGACAAGTTTTAATACAACATTCAACACAAGAATACATACCAAGAATTGAAATAGCCCTTATTGGTAATTCAATATTTGATAAATATTGAAATGGTAAAGATTAAATGTTTTCTATGTGCCCTGGCAGCACGACTAAAATCATAAAAACAATACACACCATGATTTATTTAATGGAAAATGCAATAAATCTGACCATCTGAAATTAATCAAAACTTATTTTGGCATACCCTGAAACCGTTCATCAGTGGCCCTCTCAGTCTCACAGCTGAACAAGGACATGGGCATTTTGGATGCTGGCGAGCATAACAGGAAATCCTGTTTTGGATCATGACATAGTTTGTGGGTCCAGGACAAATGATGCTGAATTGTTCTTGTAGCCTTGACAGTGTTACGGAAATCCAGCTCTCAAGTTTACAGATTTACATGATGTTTACTGATTTTTTAAGCAAGAAATTTAAATAACAAAACTATTGATTAAATGTTTAAGGTTCATTGAAATCATCAAAAGGTATGGCCACACTTATTTTGGTTTAAACATATTTTTATTCCTAGAGAATCTGGTTTGGTAAACAAGCTGTACTCTGCTTATATTAATACATCACCAGTACATATATCATTTAAACAAATACACAAGAACTGGAAACAAAAAAACGACAAATTAAATCATATATGTGCGTTGTAGGTGCTTATAAACATTGAGCTTGCAGCTACACTTCATTAATTGATTGCATATAATTGTTAGTATAATTTTCACCAAGGCACACCTAATTTATATGCATTTCTATCCCTGTATACAGATAAAGGTTTGAAAAATAACATCCAGATGAAAATTAAGCACTATTGTCTGCCAGGATAGACAATGTATAGAAGAAATCTGATGCCATCGTTGTTGTCATAGTGACTCTGATAATGGAAGCTGTCTACTTAGCCATGTTCACACAATGTGTCAAGTATCATGACAAAGTATCAAGGCAGCTCATATGGCCTGGAATTCTAGTTACCTCAACACTATGTCCATCAACACAGATCTGGTTTAGTTAACAGTCCTAGCATGTTTGATTCAAGAATTAAAGCGGAACTCCAATTTACACACACATACACTACAGGCATGATCACTATCTTAATGTGTTAATTATCGATATTTTGTATAAAAAGTTGGAGACAAAGTCTCGATATTATATACACTACAGTAAAAAATGTTCACAGCAACAAACAACTCTAATAAACTCATTTCTAACTCCAACTTTGATTCCCCAGATAGGTACAATGTGTGAAGCCCATTACCGGTGTCCCCTGCTGTGATATTGCTGTGATATTGCTAAAAGTGGTGTAAAACTATGCTAGTTTTCTCACTTTATCTTTATGAAAAATAACCTAAGAGAAATGAGAGATCCGAACCTGCGGAAAATCTAGCCTTGCCTTACTTTAGCATTACAGCAAGAGTTGGGCAGAGGGGGAATGTAGTATATTTCAAGGACTTTGAGACTACAGACGGCACTAGCTGCAATAGTTAGACTGACACAACAATTTGAACAATCGAAAGGCTGGGAACATATTTCTTCTTTAATGTGTATATGTGCAGGAACACACAGATTACAAATATGAACCACTTTTAAAGAAAGATGAGAGAGTGAAGAAAGAGAATGTGATAGAGAAGATGAGAGTATGTGTGAGAGAGAGAGAGTGTGAGAGAGGAAAATGTGTGTGAGAAAGTATGAGAGTGAGATTATAGTGTGTGAGAATGTGTATGAGAGTGAGAGTATGAGAAAGTTAGTGTGTGATAATGTATGAGTGTGTAAGCGTATGAGTGTACATGAGCAAGTGAGAGTGTGTGAGAAAGAGTGTGTGAGAGAAAGGGTGTGAGAGTGAGTGTGTGTGTGAGAGAGAGAGTGTGTGTGAGAGTGAGAAAGTGTGAGTGAGTGAGTGAGAGAGAGTGTGTGTGTGAGAGAGAGTGTGTGTGAGAGTGAGTAAGAGTGGGCAGGAGTGTATGAGAGCATGACAGAGTTTGAGAGAGTGTATGACTATGAGGGTGTGTGAGATTGAGTGAGTGTGAGCATGAGTTTGTAAGAGAGGGCATGTGAAAGTGTTTGAGTGCATGTGATTGGCATTCTAGAAGTTGTTGAGTCATTATTAAAGTATTATAAGTCAAAAAAAGCTTTATGGATACAACTTCTTGTTTATAGCAAAGAGCAACATTTCGGTGTAGGTACTTATGCTTTCAAGATCCAACACTGAAACATCGCTCTATGCAACAAACGAGAAGTTGTTCTCCATAAAGTCATGTGATGTATCATTGTGTGCGAGTGTGTGAGAGGGGCCAGGGTCAATCAGTATTACAGCATCACAGCTACCAGCAACATTATGCAAGTATGTCTTGCAAACCAGTCTGAAGTATTAGCCACCAGCCTCTTGCAATGTCTGGGGGGCAGATATTTTCGGTTCAGCAAAGCCAACAGATTATCATCTTAAAGTAAATACCTACTTCAACTAAAACTGGTGTGAAGATATATATAGATATATGTATGAACAAATAAACTCTCTGCTTATGCTCTGCTATAACGGCTGTGGGCAGACAAATGCCTATTTAGATTTAAATTAGCAATGTCTAACCATCATCAATTATCCATATAATCTATGAGCTATGAGCTTTATTCCATCATTTCAATGAGTGAGTGAGGATTTATGCAATATCCCTGTTATTTCAGAAGAGAAGGACCAATCTCCACTAATACAGAATTTCTCTTGAATGAGTGAGGGAGTGAGTGATTGGGTGTTAGGTTTTACACTGCTTTTATTAATATTCCAGCATTCCAGCAATATCAAGGCAGGGGACACCAGACATGGTCTTGGGAATTGTGAGGTTTTATGCCACTTTTAACAATATTCCAGCAATATCACAGCAGGGAACATCAAACACCCAGATGGTAGGGCTTCCACGGGTACTCGAGTACTCGAGGACGAGTCGGGTTCAGCTGGACTCGAGTCCATTTTCAAGGACTCGAGGACTCGAAAAGAGGAGATAACTCGAATTATTTGACGTTGACAGACTGTCTGCCATGTGCTAAGCACGAGCGGCCGTTAACGTCTTATAATAAGATAAGATATAACTTTATTATCCCGGAGGAAATTCTTATACATCCAAACTGTCTCAAAATGAATATATACACAGTTCACAAAAATTTACACAATAATTACATGCTCAAAACGAATGCTATTTACAAATAAATCTGACATGATATAATTCAATTAACCACATAGGTAAAGAGGCTGAATAATTCTAGTTCTAATAACATGATGGTGTGATTCAAAATATTTGTTGCATTCACGAATACTTGATGGTATCAAAGACTGTCGAGCTCTGTTTGTTTTGAAGGAGGGAATCGACAGCAGCGTCCACAAGGAAGTAGTTCAAAATGGTGAGATCAAATATATCAACTATCAAATCTAATTTTAGCTGCCTTTTTGACAATCTGGCGCTTATAGATAGAGGGAATATACTCGAAAGACACTCCAGAAATTTTGCAAGCGGTATTAACAATATTGAAAAGTTTGTTTTTGTTGCGATGAGACAGATCCCCATACCAACATAGAAAATTGTAGGTCAACACACTTTGAATAAAGGTTTGATAAAAAACTGTCATTACGGTTTTGTCAATGCCTTGACGATAATAATGTTCAGAATCAGAAACTAGGCCAGTAACAGTGGCGTCATCTGCACATTTTACAGTAAACAAGTCATATATTGACAAGTAACAGTCATTGGTATACAAAACGAAAAGAACGGATGAAGGAACACAGCCATGTGGATCTCCAGTAGAGGTTGAGAGAAAAGAAGATTGATAGCCATTGACACTGACATACTGAGTTCTATGTACCCTGAATTCTTTAACCCATCTGATAATGTTTTTATTAACACCTAAATTAAATAGTTTACTCCTCACACGGTGTGGCTGTATGGTATTAGTTGTTACAAGTCTGCAGATGAGAGTAAATATTATACATCGTTTGAGATTTCACTTCTTAAAATGATTAGGTAACTATCTTGACAATTGATAGACATGGAGAAAGATAAAAAAATCAAATGTATGGGTGTATCTTGATCTGGATAGTGAAAAGAGCAAAATAACCAAATGCCGCCTGTGCGGTATATCACTGCGTTTTGCAGGCAGTACAAGAAGTACGAAGAAAAAAAACATTTGTCAAGTAAACATCCAAATACTGATTCTGACCAATAGGAAATGTTAGTCACATGACGATATGAAGTCGGAAAGAAGTAAGTGTTCACTTGTGTGATCGGAACACGTCATGCAATTTACGCTATCGTTTGCTTGAAAGGTATGAATTTCGAGTACTCGGGTCCGAGTCGAGTCTCATCCCTCGAG